TTTATTTTGTTGATTTTTTGAAGAGTTCAATAATATTTAATATATTTTCAAAAATATTATTTGAAAAAAAAATTATTTAAATAAATGAGTGTTTCTTGTTCTTAAATATATTTTGATTAGCTTTATGGAGGCATCTTTAAATTGATATAATATTTTATCATAAAATGTTTATTTTACCCTAAATAATACTTACCAATTTTTTTTACCCATCCATATCACATCTTAAACATTTGTCTATAAGTTGGCCGATTTCAAAATTAAGATTTTAGTCAAAATAATATTAAGCAAACCTTGAGATTTCGATAGATGTCCAAACCTCTTCATCTATGAACAAAATCTCTAGATTACATACTATATTTTCTGGTGGTTTGTAAATCGAATAGTTTAACAACACTGCTATCAAACTTGAAACGCTTCAAAAAAAAAATGTGGAAATTCTAACGCGTTCGTAATCTTTTGAAAAATTGGTGTTATTAGGTCTATAAAATTTTTTCAATTTTTATATTTTTATAATAACTTTCGCGTATACTTTTTAAATGGAAGAAGAAATCAATAAAAATGAAACTTATATAAAAATGGATAATGTACAATTAATAATATTTTGAATAGATTGTTCTTTTTGCTCAAATAGGTTTGGAGTTTGGGTTGGATCAAGCTAATTGATCTATACAAGAATAGCCAAATCAGGAATTGACCCCTTTTCAATGGGATCAGGGTTATTCTATCAGGCCGCTTTCCATCCGATCTGAAAGGTCCTGGTGGTTCAAGTTTAGCGCGTATTTTAAAGGATTTATGATCTCACATACGCACGCATACTGGCAGTCCGCGAGAAAGCTTCTTCCTCGGACAGAGACTGGCTATAGCTATCCTTAAAGCGAATTATCAAAGTTGCAATGGCAGTTTTCTCTCTACATATCTTCGTTAGACTCACTTTTGTTCCTTATTCTTCATTTTACACTATATTTTACCTTTATATCATTTAATTTGGAATTTATTATTTTTTCTGTTAAATTTTGTGTTGATTTATATTAATATGAATAAATATTTATTATTTGTTTTAATAAGATAATATGTTAATTATCATATAATTTTGTGAATATATAATTAAAATAAAGTATATATATTCTATTATTAATTTTTTAAAAAATAAAAATTAGGATGGGGGTGGGCATGAACGCATCTATGCCCCAAATTTTGCATCTTTAGAAGACTTTCCTTTTGAAGTGTAGAGTTTTATATTTGCTTGAAATAAATTAGCCTAAAAATTATCGGTCGAATAGCGGATAATAATATCGTCTTAACGACAGCAAAGTATAATCTGGACCAGGTGATAATAATATATGCAACCCAAGCCAAATTGGACCTACATAGGCATGGACCTGAGAAAATTTAAATTTTTTTTCACTTGTTTACCCTTTTTTTCTATATAAATACTTGAACAAAATTTACTAACAACCTTAATTTTATATCCAAATAAAAGTTTATTATTTTTAAGTCGTTAGGCCGGGGCGTTACGAATGTATTTATTAACTATGAGTTGGGCCTGGGCTAAAAATATTTAGTCCAAGGGCTTTGAGGGCATGAATACAACATTTGGCTTTTGTAGACCTATGAATAGATCTAAAATAAAATATAACCTGTTAAATTATTTACAACGAATCGAGAAATTTAAGCATTTAATTTGGCAAGTATATTTTTAGCTATTAAACATTTTAATATATTATTTTTTTTTATAAGAATGATCAATTTAGATCTTCCGATTAGAAATTGTAATTAGGACTAAAAGCATTTATATATTTATTTAACTAATATTTATAAAATAATATTTTATCAAAATTAATTCATTATTGTCCCCGGATTTAAAATTTTAACAAATATATAAATTTAAATTATTAAATTAACATAAATATTAATATTTTATTAATTTAATACGTTTTATAATCTGGCATCATCACCCCTCGTATTCTAATGTATCTAAAATGCTGGAATGCCTTTATTTGTCTCAGCTACATTGCATTTAGTCATAAGCTTATACCGAAATTTGATAATAACAGCGATCAAAATCATTCAGATTTGATGAGCACCGATAAATCACAACTATTCCCCGATAATAAATATCTTATCAACAAAAGCGGATTATATTATTTAGACATGGGCACTAGAATATTTGATAATCTTTTTAATAAGTCGTACGATGACTCACAGCCTCCTTATCTATCTTTAGTGTCATTCATAAATGCCGACTTTATTATTGGGGCCTTCTTCGAACTATCCAAGCCATCCATATTGTCAAATTCTTTTATTTGTGATAAAGGTGAGGAGGGTAAACTAGCGATTCAATCCTATAGCATGTTGTACGCCTTCAGGAAGGCTTGCCTGGGAATGAAATTAAATTTCGACAACTGTCTAATCGATAATCATGACCAATATGATAAATATAAGCAGATAAATCCTAATATAAAAAGGATTAAAGTCGGGGTATTAGCAACATCTACCTGCGGTAACCCTATCAGAGCGCAGGTATATTATAATCTTATTCCATATGATTTACTATATATGTTTTATAAAAAGTTGGAAATGATTAGAATGTTGCAACTGATTCGTCACATGAACAAAACATTAATCGGTGTAATTGGTCCATTTACCAGTAACGAGTTGTACCTCGTGGCTGCATTTTCAGCTTATTACGGGTTCCCTTTAATTTCTCCGTCTTCGAAGACAATGTACTCCATGAATATGTAAGAAATAACAGTTATACAAGATTGGCGTGTCTATTATCGTTATATATTTTTTTTTTAAATTAAATGATCTTTTCAAATATTCAAAATAAGAAATTTTTAATTTTTCGAAGAAATTATAATTTAGTATTTACTAGGGATGTAACATAGAGGAAATTTACCGGAAGAAACTTCGAAATTTCCCCCCTATAGTTTCCCCAATTTTTATTTCATGTTTTTTGATCAAATAATCAGCATTTTTTACCATATTTTAAGAACAATATTTTTTTTTCTTCTTGGTTCATATATCATAATTAATGTTTTATTATGTATATACTCATTTTCGATTATGTAATAATAGCTCACTCTGGTAATGTTCATAGGAAGGAAATTTTTTTTTATTGACTGAAATGTATTTAATTTAATAAATAACTATAAGGATAAATAGTAGGATTGAAGGTTAAAGAGATATAGGATAGGGTAGGCCAACTTGCTCTTCTAATTTTTATCCAACTAATAAAAATGATTTTATGAACAGCCATTTTATATTAAATTGTCCATATTTTCCATAATGCAACGTCTATTTGAAAGAAATTATTTCAATTCTTTAAAAAAACAATTATTAGCTCTCAAGATATTTACCCAGTATAAATTTGTTAAACAAGCGATTATGAAAGGATTAAATAAGATAATAAATTTGACCCTTATTAATGATGGGTGTACAAATAAGGGCGTGAAATGTATTATAAATTTTATTATATCAATCCCAAGGCCCATTTTCTATAAATTAACTGAAACAGGGGCCAATATGCATAAGGAGAATATATATATCTAGTGAATTTATTATAGTAATTGATTGAGCTATGAAACACAAAAATTAACATCATAATAAAAGGATAATGCGAGTAATGAAGAAAGCCCGGACACTTGTGATAAACGAATATACAATTATCGAATGAATTGGGTCTACATCTCATGAACCTAATTTGCTTTTAAAGGGGTCTAGCAAATAAAATATTTGCCAATTTAAATTTTGGTTTCAAACGCTCAGAATATTTTAAAATACGTAAAATTCAAATTTTTTTTTTACACATTTAAGCAAAGAAAACAACTACTTAAAGATAAAAATAGAATTGTTCCTTAAAGTTGCCTAGCCCAACTCGTTTATAAAGTATAGTTTTGATAATTCATGGCCTGTTAACTCCATATTTTTATAGAGATAAGAAACTTAATCTCATGTATAATGAAGTTTTTTTTTAAATGATCTTACAAACTAAACAATTTTAACAAAGTCATTTCTACACAAATAGAGGTAGTGGAAGCGGGCAGATCAAATTGATCTGACGTTCCTCAAGGATTTATTCATATCAGGAGACCTTTTACGGAACGATATAGATCGAACAATATATTTTAAAAAAAGCGGAAATAATTTTTTTATATACTTGACCCAAGATATTACGGATTTGATTTTAAAGACAATAAGGTTGATAAAGGGATAAAGGATTGGATGTTATTAAACCGACTTTCTGGATACCTAGATTTAAATGTTACTAGATAAATGACAAATTGATCGATTTTAGAGAGAGATCTTGAAATTATATCTTATTTGTTTACATAATATAATTAATAGTTTATAATTTTTTTAAAATAATATTGACCTGTAATTTAATTTTTTTTAAGGAAATTTTCTCATTTTTTTTTCCTTGTTTCTCGGGAAAGTTTCCTCAATTTATAATTTCCCTATAAATTTATATCCCTAGTATACATATACAATATAAATAGTAATATCAATTTTTTTTCTTTCTTATAATTTCTTCTTGCCATCTAAAAGAAATATCTTATCGTATATTGATTAGCCTTTGACATTTTGTCCAAATTTTTCCATCACCTAAAGAGATTTTTTTAATGTCATCATAATTTATTTTTTTTTTATTTTCTTTAAAAACTAAAATAAATACAAGATACCAAAATACTTATCTCATTTCTCCCAGTCAAACGTCATTCATTAGACTTTTAATCAAAATATTGAAAGGTTTTAGATGGAACACTGTCAATGTGATCCGTAGCAATGATCCTTATTATAACAGGTTTTACTTAAGAGCAAGGAACGAGTTCGAAAAAGTAAATATTTGCATTGAGCATGATGTAAAAATTGTTACAAACCTTGATGCTTTATCGATAGAAAAATATGAATATAAAATTAAACTACGAGAAATTTTGTTATCCTATAGGCATAGTAAAATCGTGATTATTTTGGTGAAAAGATATCAATACATTTGGATCATGAAGTTATTCAAACAACTAACAAATGGTATGGCCACAAATTTGATATTCATAGCTTTAAACAATTGGCCGGGATCATATGCTCTTCAGAAGAGTGGCGTTGCGAACATAGCCTTAGGTACCATAATAATAATAAATTCAAATTCACATTTGGTTAAATTTTGGACCAAATTTCGAGATTACATGACTACTGCGATCAAGGTAAATAGGTATCGCTCAAACCCATTTTCAATTAATATTCAAAAGAATATCAGCATGATCCTGAAAGACTTTCATGATGAAATTTTTATTCATCAAACTGCCCTCATCGTAGACTCTACCGAAATACTATTTAGGGCTTTGATAAAGTTATTAAAGGATAAATGCTCGGTAAATGATTTTAATGAATGCTTAAGATCAAATTTAGTTAATAAAGCTATATTTCCCTTTATTGATAATATAAATTTCACTGGAATTACAAATCAAATCCATTTTCAAGATAGAATAGTGACTGACAACCATTTCATTATAGAAAATTATAAAAAGTGGACAAACAATCGATTGGCTACCATAAAAATTGGCATACACGACACCAAATCGAATACCATAAATTTCTCTGGCGAATTTCAGTGGTTACATATGTCAAACAATCAAAATATAATAGAAACATACAAATGGCCAATGAATCCTAAATCTTTTAAGCTCAGCAATATTCCAAGTTCAAGCTGTAGCCAACCATGCGAATATCTGAAGATAAGAACTTTGACTATACCGACTGATTCCCTATGTTGCTGGACCTGTAAATCTTGTGATGTCTTCAAACAAATATTAACCACGAAAATATCACAACCGTGTTTAACGTGCCCAAAGTATTTTAGGGCGAACCAAAATCAAAGCATGTGCGTAGCATTACCCGTAAGATATATAGGGAATGTCTATTTTTGGCCACATCTTATAAAGATCTTGGGATCCGTAGCTTTGTTTATTTTTATGATCTTCTTATTACTATACCTAATTTGCTATGATAACCTAGCCTTCAGATCAGAGATATTGATCCTTATGAACGTTAATCTACTTGGAATTCTATTGGGAATCATTTCGGCACTTTTTATAACCGGCAGAATTACTAAAATAACATGCGAAATGGCTCAAATAACTTATATGCTATCTTTTAATTTCATATTATCGTCATTCTTGGTTAAAATAAAATGCTTATCTACCAGATTTTCTAGTCTCAAAATAGACCAAAAAAATGATCAAATAAACTACAAAAGCATGTACTGTTTTTTATTTGGTATGATAGGTTTGCAGGTATAAATTATATAAATATCTATACATACAATTTGATAAGCAATGATTACAATTTTATTCCTTCTTTTTCTTTTTAGCTAGCAATAAATATTGTAGGCCTACTGGCTGATTCAACCTTAAACCCTTTGTATCGAGAATACATTCAAAGAAATTCGAATGCTGATTCTCACGTTAAAATATTTTGTAAATTGTACACTCAAAGTTATACCTATTTTAGTTTACTCTTAACATCTCAATTTTCCATTATGGCGATGTGCTTATACCATATTTTTAAACTTAAGAATATATCGTATAATATGTTTAAAGAAATTTATTACTTTAAAATTAACATTATTTTTAGTTTAGTTTGCATGACTATCGCTTTAATGCTTTACACATTTTTGAACCCTTTCTTCGATGTCATTTTATTCTATTTAATTTTTCTGAGCGTATTGATATTCAATCTACTAACTACTTGTTATTTTAAATTTAAATTCATTTTTAAATAATCCAGTGTTTTCTAAAAAAAAATTAATCAAAATCAAATTATCGTGAAAGAGAAAATTCTACTATCATTGTAAAATTAACAATTTACGAGACGCGGGAAAAAAAATTTTCTTTTTTAGTATTTATAATTAGAAAATTCTTCCAAAAAAAGATGTTTTATATTATTTATATTCGCTTTTACTTTTATAGACTTTCTTTCAAAGTGTAACCAATTAGTTTATTTCTGTAATTGTAATAATATTGTATTGTTACTTTTTTTCCCCCATCAAATATAGAATTCACATTCAGTATTTTGTATAAATTGTCTATTTGAAAAAATATTATCAATTATAATCTTATTAAAAAATACCAAATACTCTTAAATTTATATAACAAAATTTAAATATGATAACTAGATATTAATTTCGTGATTCGTAAAAATAGAATATTTAAATCTAGATTAGTTTTTTTTATCACAAACATTAAAAGTACAAATACTATTCAAAGAACATTAAAGTTTCGAAAAAAGAAAATTCCTGTTTTACTAGCCAATATCGCATCTTTTAACCTAGTTAACAGATAGTTCAAAAATGATAAACCATGACTGAAATGGATAATTAAGCAGTACTGTTTTAGTCGGCAAAAAAATACAATTTCAGGAAATAGTGTGTGCTAATTCAAAATTCCTAACTTTTTATTAAAAGCCAACTATTGATTTCCTTCCTGTTAAGTCTCAATAGCGAAATCTAGCCGTTATAATTTCGGCAGTAGAGAAAATTCTGTCCCAATAAGTCGTATCTGTATAAGTTGAGTTTTCTCACCAACCGATGCTCTCTCCTTTCTTTTCTTGGCCAGATGAGAGCAAAATTATTATTTTTTTCGACTTGGTGTAATTCCTTAACATCAACCTTCAAAAAGGAGTGGAGGAAAATATACAACCACCATAGAGCAGCGCCGGAAAATATACTATATAATCTTATTCACGTAAAACCAAGTATAAAGTGCAAGATGTAGAATTTGAATCTTCTTTTAAGGGTGGATGACTATAGAATTTAATTTGTCATCAACTAAATTCAAATTTACTATAATCCTGTATTTTAAGAGTAATTATGGGGGAAAATAAGAATCCTGAATTAAAATAAAATGCATAATATTAATTAATACGATAGGAAATCTACAAATTAACAAAATTACTTGAAGAATGAGAATGACATAAAGCGAAGGTAATAGGCTCAAGCACCCCGTTTTCGATAATTTAAAGATACTAAAAAAATTCTTTCCTTGAAGGAATATTATATTATAATTATATTAATACTATAGCCAGAGCATTCTGATGATTATTTTTTACACTCTCAATTTATAATTTTAATTAAAATCTTATATATACAAAATTTTAAATATATATTCTAAAAAAAGGTATGAATAATAAATTAATAACACGTTGAATTTGCGATTTCCACTATTAAAAAAAATTTATTATACATAATCGTAATTTGTCAATTATTAATAATGTATTTTGTTACCAAAAAAGATAACAATTTTGATTTTTTGTATGATACCGCTACATTAAGTATGTTTCGAGCATTGTGCATATTGAAATTCGGGTCCGATATTATATCCAACTAATATGCAATATAGAATAATATATTCAATAAATATAGTATAATAAGATTTGTTTTTAAAAAATTCAAAGATAATCCTTGAAAGTGAAAACATTTAAAATTATTTGGTTATATTATAAGCCTAATTTCTAACCGCAATTTTATATTGGTGCTTTGAACAAATAAAAAAAGTAATCAAGATATTTTTTTTTTGGATTGATAAATTTTTACTAATTTGTTGCGTTTAATTTTGAACTGGTTTTCGAAGCTGGTCAGCATAGACCCTACGTACTCCACCAGCGTCATATCCCACATCATATCATACAGACTATCGGAGGCTAAGCAAAATTTGTCCTGCTTCCCATTGTAAATATTCTGCGGTTTTGTCGTATTTTTGTCGAACCCATTGTCGTTACCTGCGATTAGGTCCTCGGCCATGACGTCTTGATCTGTGTAAGGACTGTATTCAGTGTTATGAATGTTAGAGTAAGAACCAGTGTCGGGCGTAGTGGTGGCCAGGGCTTGCGAAATGACCTGAAATGCCCTGGCGTAATCCACGGGGTTTGTTAATTGGCATATAAGGGCAGCCTGTCGATTAAAAGAAAAAGTGATTGATTATTATCGGTGAATAAATAGTTCAATATTTGTTTTTTTAAGTGATGAATCACGAGTTATAAAGTAAAGTGCTTTTTAAAAAAAACAAAACCATATGGCTTAGATGAGGTAATATGTCTTTTTTGGATAGGATCATATTATATACAACATAGGCGCCGACTTCATGGTGGGGCAGCGTGGCCTCCCCCACCGAAATGTAAAAAATAGATTATATTAAATCTTCTTTAAAAAATTAACAGCCACCACTAAATAAAGTTAAAATGTATTTTTTTTAAAACAGAATGCGACTAATAGTTATGATGTCTGACTATTTAATATAAAAGGTCGAGTCAGAATTTTTAATAATCAAAAATAAAATCGAACCTAATCTGTCTAATACCATTAAAAACAAGAATATGGGCTAGTACCAGGATCATGATACAGGAATATTCAAAAGTTTAGAATAACTATGAGCGCCTATTCTTTGGTTAAAATTTTATGTAAATATTTAGGATTTTTTTTAAATGTAAATATAGTATATATATACCAATCGGACTTAAAAATTAATAATTACAAATACATTAGGATATGGGCGAAAGATTCAAGTGTAAAATAGTTATTCGTTAAACGAAGTCATGATTAGGTGTATTCCAGATATTCATTTATTTATTTTTAAAAAAAATCTAAGAATACGCCCCCCCCCCATCTCCACATGGTAATTCAAAATGGGTTCCTTCTCGTGGATATTAATAGAGGGTTGATTTTCAACAAAAAATATTTACCAACTTCGATATTGGATTCCATCTCCACGCAGCATTTTGTCATCCTGATGTACATGTCGTTAGAAAATATTTTAAATTCCTTCCTACATTCCGACGGTTCTCCAAGATTGGTTTGTACGAAAAGGGCTTGGCTGTAATATCCCATGGCTGTGAACCAGTTTTTGTTAACTTTTTAGGAAGGAAAAAAAAAATTGGTAAAATGATTTCACCTTTAATAGTTATAGGTATATTTTGGAGGAAGGTATCGGGGAGGGTGGAGGGGGTGAAGATAAGGAGTTTACATCCTGAAGTTCATTCGTTTTAAACAAACATAATAATCTAAAGCTTCTTAAATAGGTAATATGAGAATCTGACACAGTAGCGGAAAATAATGGAATATATATATATAAACCATATTCCATATCAGCTCTAAGTAACAACCAAGGAACCCTGGAAGATGTTGGGTTAGAACAAATCTTTAATGCTTGGTTAGTGCAAAAGGTTAGGATGTCTTCCAGCTCGTTAATTTTGTACTGAGGAAATCTAAAATTAAAATAATTAAAATGTTGGTTATCTAGTTAGGTAAACAGTGTTAAACCATCCGATACATTAATATAATATTAACTGCGAAATAATTGCAATACGCCAACATCCCTTCTTACTCCTAAAGAAAAATCGAGAACAAGTTCCCAATCGAGCCCGGATAGGTTGGACACCGAGATACTCCTGGATTCGGTCGAATTCCAGTAATATTTAAAAAATGGGACTTTATTTAATTTAAAATTAGATATTATTTCTTTCTTTCCTTCTTTCTTATATGAATATCGAAATTCAGACGACAACAGATTTTTTTGGGGCAAACGAGTTAAATATGGAGTTGTTTAAAAAGCTCGGTTTCGCCAATTCAAATGAAAATTTTACCCAAAATAATATTATGCAAGCCTTGAAATTTTGTTAATAGATGTCTCTCTACCATCTATGAGAAAAATCTCCAGGCTTGAATAATATTTTGGCTAGAATTTTGGGTTAGCCGTTTTCAAGAATCGAGCCGTATAACAAACACTAAGTTTAATGGTATTATAGAATTACAAATAAATTTGATAAGCAAACTTATTCAATTTCACCACAAATTTTAATATTCAAAAAAAAAATGTTACAGTAATAAGGATGGCCAATATTGAAGGTACGGAAATACAAAATCAAAGCACAGCTCATCCTAAGACATTTTTTTTGCAAGATAAAATAAATGTATGAATAATATTTTTAAATTTTCTTTTAGGCTGTGTTCTAAATATCAAAAATTAAATTCGGAAACTTTCGTCGTAACTTTCAACGAAAAAAGAAGAAAATAGGATATATGTTCTAAATATAAATTTTTCTTATAAATTTCCCAAAATTTTAACATATTTTAAACTAGATTTAGGACACGGCCTTAAAAAAATAAATATTTATAAATAACAAATCATAATACCTTGACTAATGAGTAAATCTTCAATAGACAACTTCCGATTAAAGTCATATACACGGGTTCCTTGTAAATATAAAATGAAAAGGTAGATAATTTTAAATAAGGCTAACGAAATAAGCTGCATTTATAGTAAACGCGTTTTGCTCAAGCGGTGCGGTATTTACCACTATCAAAATCACAGCTGATTCTTCACAGCGATAATAATTCTTAAACTATACGCCGCGCAACATATGTTTTTCGAATTTTATCAAAGCGTTTTCATCGAATATTTTCTATTGGCCTGATTTCGTAAATAACGTAACGTTAAATACCTCACCGCTTTAACATATCGCATTAAACGAGGCCATAAGCTTCTCTTTTTTATTAAATATAAAAATAAAAACATGTCCAAAATATATAAATTCTAAAAAAAAATTAAATAAAAAATTTTAAAGACTTTTGAAAGTTTTAAAACTTCGAATTCTTTAAAAGAAAAAGATTTTGGACATAGAATAAGGTCATTGAATCGAGTATTTAGAAGTAAAATTTATATGCCTGGCTTTTATATAAAATTTAGTTTAAAAAACTGACATAATTTTGAACATTTTTTTTCCTCGAAAAAAAAAAGAGCTCATGAAAATGTTACGCGAAAAATTTTAGCGAAAACAGAATTTATATTATATTAGTAAAAAAAAGTTTTGATAATAAATGGAGTCTTGAATCACCTGAATAATGTTCAATTGGTTGATGAAATCCATTAAAATTTTATCGCCATTCAAGGAGAGGTAATTGTTTATGTACCCGACTTTAAAATCGACGTCCATGCCTATTTATAAATAACTAGAGTTTAGGCGAATTTAGTAAATAATTAATAAAAATTGACCGTCTCCCCCCCCCCAATTTTTCTTGCTTCTTTGCTGAAATAAACCCATCATATCGGTCTTTAAATTGGGACCCCGGAATCGGATCAAACCTAGGAACTGAACCTGTAACTTTAAAGTTTCTAGAACACTTCCAGGAATCGGAAACAAAACGGTAGAATCACAACTCTTTTCAATTTGTTACAATCTCTGATTATACTTTCTTCCTTCCTTTCTTTCTTTCTTCCTTTCTTTTAAGTCTAAATATCATAATTTATTTTATCTACCATATTATTTATTAGTTGAGAGAAGAGGTAAAATTTTATATTATTTTTTAATAAACCACTTTTATAAATATGTTTAAAAAATAATAATAATTTATTTATTCCGCTTAAAAGAATAATAATCCTTCATTAAATTTTTAAAAATTTGGATTAGAATTTAATTGACTATTATCTTTCTTTTCTTTTCTCGCAGCAGAGATTAAAAAAAAATAAAATGATATACCATGTGAGTTGATATTTAAACCCATATTAAAGGGGGTAGATCGGATCGCGTTAGACATTGGCGGAGGTATCCTCAAAATAGAGTTAAACAGAGGAATCCTTTGAATGTTTTGTTTGTGCTGATGTTGAATCAGGTATCTCAGATGGTGGGGCGGGTGAGGGAATATAGGGGGAGGAGGCAGGGGTAAAATGCTCGTGGGTTGATTTTGAGCTTTTTGGTTTCAAATGCAAAAGCGGTAAAAATGGAAGATTATTCGATGTCAAGTTAATTTAATATTTGTTTAACGCTTCTTCTTTTCGTTTATTTACATTCATTCCATTCATTATTTTGGCAGACGAGATAAATTGATATAACCTTATTTAATTTTTTTTAAAGATTTTAACCATTTCCTCCAAGGCCCAGTATGCCGTTACCGGGCAGGGAATTATCGTCCAAAGGGAATTTCAAGCTGGCGGAATGTGTGGCAAGATTGCTAAATATGGGCGGAGGGGTTGAGCATTTGTTTTTGTTCGGATTTTGACCGCCGCTAATCACGCTAGGTAATTTTGAAGGAGCGTTTTTGTTAAGGTCCGAGGGGTCCGAGAATAGCGTGTTCACTTCCGTAATTCACAAATAAATAAATAACATGCAAAGAATTTTAAAAAAATAATCCGAAATTTGTATCGCACGTTCCAATTGATAGGCAAATTTTCCTGGCGAAATAAAATTCCTCGCTTTATTTATAGTATTTTTTTTTCGAATGTAAAAATTGGCATAATTTTTCAAAACAAAAAAAAATTCGGAACGGGGCCTAAAAAAATAAAAATAAATTAAAAAACTACAGCCGACTAAATATTTTTATACAAGAAAATATTGTTTAAGGCCTAGAGATTTTTACTAATAGAAGTCAAATCTTCGTGGCCATCTATACACCAAATCTTCAGACTTGAGTAATAATTTTCAGTTCGCCGTTTCTTTTAGATATCAAATCGAACCGTTTGACAACACTGCGCGGCACTCAAAGTAATTTCTATTATTTCAACCCAATTTACAAAATACCGCGAAAATTGATCAAAATAGAAATTTAATTCCTGGTTAGGCCTCAAAACGTTTTTTTTAAATCAGGCTCATGTATAAATGCCCGGACCGAGCTAAATTAAATCTAGGCCTGGGTTAAAATTTCGACCCCTAGGGTCTCAGAATTCGGTTGCCGCCACAACCAGACATTTTTTCAAAAAGTAATCAAAAAGATTTTGATATGTTTTTTAAAAAATTATTTTTTATACGGTTTTACCTAGATCCCAAAACTTGGAGAGGGCTATTTTGGTGGCGGGTGACAGGTCGAGCAAGGTAAAAATCTTTTTCTCGATATCGATTTTATTGAATTCGTTTTTCAAATTGATCAAGCAACTAGCCAGCTGTTACAGATTCGAGAAAATTAAAGAGTGAGAGATTTATATATTAATAATAACGAATAAATTAAAGAGCCCCAGCGCGAACCTAGCCCAATATAAATCCGACCCGAGTCCGTCCGCTCGATAACAGCCTTGAATATTTTCATCGCTTTATTAGCGTTATCTTCATATTTTCTCAAATACGTTTTATGGGAAAAAAAATATTCTAAACGTTGAGCGTATTTTCACTTACAATTAAAAATTAATATTTATCCATAAGCAAGTCAAAACTTTTTTTATATAAATTCCGCTTAATAACACGTAATCAAAACAATTATTTACGTTCATATAGAATATGGAAGGATTTGGGAAGAAATTGGTCAAATATTCGTCTTCTTCATTCTTCAGCAAGTAGATTAAGGCCGCACAAACGATTTCAGAATTAAGTATATTCATATCTATAAAAGCGTTAAAAAATAGGGTTTATAAAGGTTAAACATGTGTCATACCTCGTTACTTTATATACGCAGATACAAAATTAAGGAAAATGAACGATATATAAATAGATTGATACTTAACATAAAAATACCATTTTCAAAGGCTTGCAAATTATGCAGAAACGCTTTGGTATCATTTATGAGCCCGTAAGAATTCTTATCATTTGCCATCGCGGATCTATTTTGTAGCTCTATCCGCAATCGACAAAATAGGAGTTCCCACCGAACGTACTTGAGTAACAAGGAAGAATTTTGGTAGAGGGGATCTTTATTGGCACTATTTTGAGAGGAGTTGGAATACTGTTCTTGGAAATTTATCAATTCCGTTTCGCAACACCTGATCAAATTCTGAGCCAATCTATATTTCTTTATTTAAAAAAAATACATTTTTATGTTTGTCAAAATAAAGATTATAATAACTTTGGAAAAAAATTCAAGAAATTAATATGCAAAATAGCATGGTCACATGATTATCAATGAGGTTCCTAGAATTCATGTTCACCCTTTCTCCACATTAAGCTAAGGGATATAAATCCCTTTAAAGTCCTCTTACCTCCTTTTATACCGGTTTTATAGGAATTTAAACTAGAAGGCAGCAATCGGCGCAAATTCCTGCTAGTACCTTCATTTTAACTAAAAATTTGGGCCAGGCTTGGTCCAAAAATATCGAATTCATGGGCTCTAGTTTAAGATCCTACAATCACGGAATGTTGTGAGAATTTTACTTCGGTAGATTGGCATTGCCGCGCTTTGATCAGAATCAAATGGATATAATTTCGCCTTATACCAGTTGGAAGGTTCACCAACGAATTCAGAAGATGGCGCGGTAGCATATCCTGGCAATTTAAAAAAATATATATTAATAAGCCTTTATATTAAATGTCATTATAATGTAGCGGGCTGCAAAGTAAGGTCGAAAAAAAGTGACGCCATTAATAATGGCAGTGGGCAAGGGTGAGTTAATATTAGATATCTGCAAAAGTAGGCCCTAACCGAATTTAAAAAAAAAAATTCATCAGAATTGGGTAGAGCGGAGCCCAATATATTTTTTTAAATCGAACCGGAAGAGGAAGGGACTAGATATTTGTTTTCAAAATAGGGCCGGGTTAACTTTGAAATAAAATTGATATATTTTAAAAATTTTGCCCAAATAGATCAATTTTTTTTTTAATATATTTGTGAACGATCCAAAAACTCGATAATATTTAGCTGCAAAAAAAGGAACATTAATTTCTATATTTAAATAAATTCGAGCAGGACTGGGCAAACAAATAAATCAAAAAAAAAATATCTGCCAGTTTTAGACAAAACTAGATAAAATTATTTTAATACAAATTTCGGGTTCGGTCTTTAAACTAAAATTAGGCTCGATGTATATCACTACGTTCGGTTTTTAGAATTATAAGTAAAGATTCCGAGCTTATGGATAACGATACAAAATAAATTGTTTATGGAATCATATTTACAATCTAATTTTATTATGTTAACAATTGGTTAAAATTAATCTAATCTAAAATAATTAATCGTGGTAAGCTAGCCCAACCAACCATTAACTACTGTATTTTCCGTAAATATATATATATATATATATATTTGTTGAAGGCAAACATCGAAACGTGATAGAAACGTGGGTTCTTTTTGGTAATCGTTGGATAACGTTAGAAGGATATCCTTGACTGTCCAAGGGTTTTTGCATTTCAAGAGCCGCATATTGAGATTCGTTATTTCGAGATCATCATCCTCTTTTTTTTTAAAGAAATAAAACTTGATCAATATTTCTTTTGGACGCGGTCAATAAAACAGACCCCATAGGTTGACTATGAATGAAAGGATGAAAGAAAGAAAAAAAGAAAGAAAAAAAGAAAGAAAGAAAAAATTCCTAATTTTTAGAGAGTTAAAAAAAATGGCTATAGATTTTTTTTTATTAAATTCATAAAGTAATTAATAACCGGAGTAAGATTTTGGATCGTCTAAAAGATGTGTAGATTTGGATTTGAGAGATTTAGCGGCAATTTTCGTGTCGCCATCGCTGACACTTGTATTTTTAGCCGTCTTTTTCGCCGAAAGCTCCAACGCATTCACGATATTCGAGAGTTGGTCCTTTATGTCCTGATTGGTTTCACGGGGAATTATGTTTGCCCGCAAAATTTCGCAAAGCCCCAATAAAAGGGATACGTTTTTAGAGGTCCGATCAACTAAAATCGTGGCTAGATAACTTTAAAAAATATTCAAAAATGTATGTATCTAATGATAATGGTAATAGGGTGTATATAAAGCATTTAATATGATTTTAAGCCTTTTTTTTACAAATTTAATAAGTCGAAGCCTAAAAGCGGCGCACATCCAAAAATATTCTAATAACCTACCAATATATCATCAGAAGAGAGCTGAGACCTGATGGCTCCAATACAATCTTTTGGAAATTAAAAAAGCCCTTTTTTGAGGACTTCACTATGTCTCTTCATTTTCTCCAGAAGATAAATTTTTTACTATTTAAGGCAGACAAAAAAAAACACGTGGAAAAAATCTTTCAAATTATATCATGACTCCCTGTTAGGAACCCAGCTAAAAAATGGTTGACCCTTATAATCTATTTGTTTGTAAACAGCTTTATTTATCAATTCTATAATATATATATGAGGACGTTTTGAGATATGAAAATATATAGGAATCTCTCAACTGAGATTGATTTATTAAAAACCTAAAAAAGAAAAATGTGATTTGATTAGAAAGTGTATTCTAACATGTTATAGAGTTACCCACACCGTAAACTCAGACAATTTTGCCTTTAACTGTCAAAATATTTTTAATTTACGTCTTGTTTCTACATAAATTTTTTTTGAAAAACCTGATTTGACCGGAAATGTATTCAGACATGTAGTATAGAGCAACCACAATATGAATTTCCGACAATTTCGAATAAAACTTAAAAAAGTATTCTTAATTTATTTCTTAAGTTAATTTTTTTTGTATAAATTTTAAAAAAAGTAGACAAATGTCTATAGGCAAAAAAAATTGTCTTAAATTTACACGGTAGGTAATGTACAAATGTCGGAATGCGTTGTATAAACATTTGTGAATTTCAGACAAATTTGCATTTAAAACTTTTTGGAAGTATTCTTAATTTATCTATATTTTTTCACAATAAATTTTTTTGAAAAGAATGATAAACATAGGATGGAAAATCCTATGAGGTTGGGAAATAGGGATTTCAGGATTTCTATCTGCAATATTTGTCGAGAATTAAAAAATATACAAAAAAGTTATTGGGGAAAAAAAATGTCGGAAATTTACGGGGGCAAAATATTCTACACGGGCTAAAATATTCCCGGGCAAATCAGATTTTTTTCGCGGAGAATTGTACAAAATATATTTGATTTTTTTGTATACTTAGCCAAGATTTCCACCCCAACTGTGAACGCGGGCTACAAGTGTTGAAATGATAATTTAAGAGGTAAAATGATATGTTATATCCTTTAAATAAGCTTCTTACATTTTAAAAAAAGTAGCGCGATGTCATGCCTTTACTTTTCATGAAAAAAAAGAGAGTATATTTTACATTATAAGGCCTCTGATTCGCGCGCGGGTTATATTAATGTCCTTGATTTGTTGACTTTGCGTGTAAATTTCTCGAATAATCTATAATAAATATTTCGTTTTTTTTAAACAAAATTAAATCGTTATTAAATGCATATATATAATTATTTAATACCTCCGTAAAATACTCGAGAATTTCCTTAGTCATATCGCCGAAAATCTTTTTGACGCTAGCGTACATTAAGGCGGAATTCTCCCTGACAATAATATTCTTTAAAAGAAATAGAATGTCTAGTTTTTTAACGTCTTCCGAAGACCTAGAAGAGATATTAAATAAATGTTAATATTTAAAAAATATCTTATATAATAAAATTATGTACCATAATTGTTTGTTGATTATTTCATTGTAAACAATTTGAAAACTATTCAAATCCAATTCATCTTCTGTGGACAAATTACTTTTCAGCACATTTAGAACTTCCTATATTCAGCATAAAAGATAATATAACTTCTTTCTTTTCTTTTTTTTTAAGACCATGTCCAAAATATTTAAAAAAAATTCGAAAAGTTACAAAACTTTCGGAAACTTTAAAATTTTTTTCTAGAATTATGTTTTGGGCATGTTTTTATTTTTGTATTTAAAATTGCTTATATATTTATTTTCAATTAAAGCATCAAAAATTTGTTTATTTTAAAAATCAAAATTTTTTATGCAACTTTTTTGCTAAAATCACAAAAGAAACTTGTAAAAGATTTTGAATTTGTGTAAATACGATCGAAAATCCTGTTTGAACATTCTAGTCTTTTCAAAAAATTTATTCTGAAGAGCATTTTAACTTCATTTAAGATGTACCAAAATGAGATCACTTTAAAATGGGAAGCGACTTTTGAGATAATTTCATAGTTATTTGCCTCGTTTATTCATATTATCTAAATAAAACTTACTCTAGCATTTTGGATGCCAGAATATATTCGATCGAATGCTTCATAACTATACGAGCCTTTAGTAACTAGTGATGAATGGTTATCATCGACTACTTTGCGTTCATCAATCTCTCCTACGGGAAAATCTAGAGTTTCTGTAGTTATACCACATGCCAGACAGTAATTGTATAAAGTGTTGAGATCAAACGTTAGATAGCAATCATTGAACAATTCATCGTTCTTAATTTATAGAAAGGTAAAAATTAATTCTAAAGTTTATCTTTTTTAAATCATTGAAAATAAGTTATTCAAAAAAATAAATAAATATTATTAAGTGTGTGTAAGGCTCGTTTATAGTAAATTATGTAATATCAAATAATAGAGTCATGCTATCACCGTTGAATTATAAATACCCTGTACAATATTGTGCTTACTTACTAATTGACAACAAAACAAATAGTTAAATAAAGCAAAAAAAAATTTTTTTTTCATAGTTATTAAATGTAAAGACTTGAAAGTTTACTTTATTCACCCATACATGTTCGAAATGTTCTTTAGCCATATTCATGTTATTGACCGAGAAGTAATATACTGCTAAATCATAATGAATCTATAAAAAAATATTTATATTGAAATGAAGGAGATTAGTAAAAAAAAAACTTGGTAATTCAGAGTTTTATTGTTAATTAGATTGATTGCACTTATGTTGAATAATTTATCTTTATCATTTTGAGGAAAAGTTTCTTGAGGGTTTTGAAAGGTATATTTAACTGTAAAAAACTTTTCATTGGGACAATAAAGTTTTACATTAGAGTTGTTCAACAATTTGACAAATATTTCAAGCCACGCAATTCTGCTTTCTAATTGAGTTTTGTACTTTAAAAGTGTTTAAAATTGAAGGTTATAATAGATAATTTTAAAAAAAAACTAGTAATTAATAACCTCTGGTTTAATATGTTGGAATAAGCAAACATTAAAAAATATAAATACTTTATGGATTATTGCATCATGTAAATTCTTTATTAATGTTTGATCAATTTGGCCAGGTCTAAAAAAATTTACATTATAAGTTAATAAGTATATTTTACATTGAAAATGTATATAATTTATTGGGCTTATTGGGTAAATTTTCTTTCAAAATAATATCAAGAATTCTAAATATTTAATATTGTATAAAAATGAAATGTTTAGACTAACATTCTTATTTTCACAATATGACAAAATAATTGTATATTTTGAATGTCTGTTAAATTAAGCAAATTGTCTTCAATATTTATAAATATTTCAGATGAGTCTTCATAATCAATTAGCAAGGAAAAATATTCAAGCAAATCCCATATTTGATATAATTGCAAGCTATATTTATATAAATAATAATAATTTAGTTTATACTTATACCTTTCATATAAATAAGATATATTCCAGTGTAAATGGCTTATTATTTTTAATACTAAAATTCTTAAATTATTAGATTTATCAGATATTTTCAAACATTTGCCCGCTATAAAAAGAATATTTAAATATAGAACATGTTCTATAATTACTCTCGATGCTATGAAGTAATTCATTCCTATTATTTAAGTTTAAAAATAAAGCACTATTTATGACTTGAGTAATAAGATCAGGAATTGATTGGCCTATTTAAATTTTAATATTTATTATTCATAATTATAACTTTTATTATTAGATGATATATAAGCGTCTAATTGATCAGGGTTTATCAAATAGTCTAGCCAATTAATCGACTTATCATTTGTATTATAGTATATAGAAGAGAGCATTTTTTAACCTGCTGTTAAGCCGAATGTATGGGAAGTTTAGTATTAACTTGTGCTAAATAATGTCACAACACACTTTATATAGAATTATTGAAAATGACTTAGCACTAGTGCTGTAAACGAACGCATTCATTTTGAATGCATTCGTGATTGAAGTTTTGTTTTTTTTGAAATAAATGATAACGGCGTTTCTTTTACTTTTGACGAACTTTAAATGTGAACGCGTTCCTCATTTTTTGTCGAACGTGTTCGAATTTAACGTTCGTTCAATTTTAGAAACACTTTCTTATTTTTCTTAAAAAAATCGTAAAGTTTGTTCAGGTTTACAACCCTAGTTTCAGTTCCAAACTCAGCCACCGGCTTTGTATCTTAGCCCGGGTCTGCTCAATTTAAAATAATTATCAATCCGAATGTAATCTTATTATCATTTAACCTTGTGCGCCATGCAATAGGAGGAGACATAAAATATAGTTTGATTTACAATCTGATAAAAGTTTGAAATTGAATTATCAATTTTTTGAAACTCCATCTTAGCCAATGTGCCTAATTAGTTCTAGCCGATTTTTTGGCTAAGCCTAATTAAGTTTAACCCACACCTAAAAACTCGGCTATGATGTTAGCTAAAATTTGCCCGTCATGCAAAAAGAAAAGCAAAGACATTGATTATATTCTAATTAAAATTTTTTATATGAAAACTGTCAAATTGTGCTAGTAATTATTACTTATTAGATTAAAAAAATACCTATTTTATATTTCATTATTTCAATTTGACAATTAATTGGTAATTATATAATTCTAATCTCAATGTAGTGAGGAATTAATATTCTAAAAAACCAGGTTCAAATTCATTTACAGTTTAGTAAAATAAAAACTTATAAATTTAGTAAAAATAACAGAAACGTCAGTATTTTTAAAATTTATTTTACTTTATTTAGTATTTACCATAAAAAATTATAATTAGAATAATACAAATAAATTTTAAAAATGATATTTTATGTTTTTAAAAATTTTATATGTGAATTATCATTGATATCTTCCAAAATTTAGATGTTAAAATTAAAAGATCGATATTTTATGTCTACCTTTGAGTAGCAACTGGTATTTGAATTTAATTGTTTAAAAGAATCAAAAATTTTGCCAATCCTAGTTTGAGGGGTGGTATTTTATTATTCATACCGAAACTAGGAAATAGGTGCCGACAATGGTATTTTAAAAAATAAATATATCTATCGGGTTTAAGGCGGGTTTTCCTATTTGCGAAAGATTTGTTTTAACCATCTTTTTTTATCCTTTAAACCCGGTTGTCATCCATTAATTATTATTTGGGTGCGCTCTATTGTAGTTTTATGTTAGCCACTTATTTTTAAGCAGATCCTGTCACCACATCCTTACTTATTTTGTATGGCATATGAAAGAGTGCCAATTCTATTCCATAAATCATATGCACTCAAAGCATCATGCAGAATAATTTCTTTAACTACTATATTTTATCATTATTTTATATTACTAAAAAATATTATTTAAAGGTCGAGCCCGAGGAACACTTTGACGTCGATGAAGAAGAGGAAGAAGAAGAGAGCGACTCTAAGGAAGACAGCCGAACAAGAAACAACTAAAAAAGAGTCTCCTGATAGCGTAATATATTTTTTTATCGATTACCAGACATAAGAGATACACCAATACTTGATATCTGATCGATATTTTATTGGTATCTGTCAATACTAAAACTTTCCATCGAAATCCTAAAATAATTAACCCTCATAAATTAAAAAAAAATATTAGCCGACATTGAGCATATAAATCTATAAAAAATTTTAAACCTATAATAAAGTAGGTGCTAATTCTTTTTTTCTATTTATTTTACTTTAAAAAAAAGTAAAAAGTTTTACTATCATAAATTATAGATAAAAATAATAATATTGATGTATTAATCTGCTTTTCGAAACACTCCATAATAATAACATAATTGGTATCGTTATCAGTTGATACGGCTAAAAATAATATTGGCTCATCTGATAAACATTAGCAATGAATTAACCTATTTTCACATTATATATTATATTAATATTTATTTTTAGGAAATCAAAGATGAACTATAAACATGATCCGTATCCAAACCAAATGATAAAACTGTTTTTATGCATCATAATATTTCCTCACACTAAATTCCTGATTGCATGATTTTTATGTATATTATCATTTATGTATTTTGTAAATGATGTATATTTTATTATATGAATATTAAAGGATACAATTTTTTTTTGTTCAATTATATATCTATTTTTTATAAAAAATGTAAAAATAAATGACACATAAAATGTGTACTCTTATTTTATTTGGTCTAGAAATCCTTAGATCAGTGGCGTAGCTAGGAATTTTCCTTAGAGTGGGTCCATACATATAAAAGCCTGGGGGACTTCGCCCCCAGACCCCCTTTAACGGGCCTTCGGCCCTTTTGCCCGGCCTTCGGCCGGGTATATCTTACAAATCATAACCATATCTTCGATAATATATAATAAATATATTTTTAAATGCATCAATAATTTGTTTTATAATTTAGTAGATTATTCTCAATGATTTTATAATAATACTATCCAGAATAATTTCAATAGTAATATAATATCCTTCCACAAACATCAAAACCAGAAAAATTTAAATATTATTGATATTTATTTGATATAAAGTCACCACTTATAAGTCTTTTGAACGTATAATCTAAAAATAAATTTTTGCTCTGGGAGGGGTCCAAACCCGAAAACCACCCCCGTAGCTACGCCACTGCCTTAGATGCTCTAGCAATTTTTAAAAACTATATTTACTAGTACCACATAGTTACTCAAAGAATAAGAATCTACCAGCCTTTCTACCTTCTGAAAAATCATTTACTCATCTATTAATTATATGAAAATTATTCCGCCCATTACTGGTTAACGGTGCATATATACACCACCTCCTATATATCATTTTTAAACAAATTAGTTTTTATTTTAAAAAATAATAAAAAAGGTTTTTATATAGTTTAGACATTGTACCTCAAAAACTGGAAAAGAAAAATATGAAAAAAATTTATTTTTATGTCCCTAAGAAACCCTCAAACATGGCGAATTTATGAGGTCTAAAATGTAAAGTCTAGGTGATCTCACGAGTATATTATGAAATTATTTCGATGAAAACTAGTGTATATATTTTTTTTTATAGATATATCAATATTTATCAATCATTTTTAAATTTTAAATAATTAAAATGTTAACCATCTAGCAGTATAAATTATTTTAAAAAATTCAAACAAATCAAATTTAACATAATGAATTATAATTTTTTATATTATACTTAAAACTATTACCATTACTAAGAGGGGGGGGGGAGGTTGAAAAAAATTTTTATACCCAAAAAAAGGTCTTTTGAAAATATAGCCCCCTGAGCAGCGTCTACATGAGCGGGAGGAACAGTTTGCATCCTATTTTTTGAGGGGGGTAGGGGTAGGCGGCTTTAATGGGGGTAGGATAAATTTTTTGGGGGAATATCTATTGAATTTTGAGATGAAATAGTACAAAATTTATTGCTGTAAAAATTAATACTTTTATTATAGAACTATTATAATACAATTCATCGATTAAATCTATATATTGCAAACAATTATACATATTGTTTTCCAAATAAAACTTTCTGCTATCCTTTTAAATTACATTTAAAAGGTTTAGATATTTCAGCAAGCTCATAAAATTATAATAATAAATTCATTGTAAATAATGGAGGATTTAATTGAAATTATTATCTAAAAAATAAATCCTTTAGATAATTTTTTAGGGGGGTAGGCAAAGGTTTTTGAAGGGGGTTTGCACCCAGTGAAAATCCTGTCATGTAGACACTGCCCCTGAGAATCGAATAATATGTTTCTTTTATAATTTTTTATCTCGACCTAATTATTCGATTCATAAATATTCGAAAATTTATTCATAAAAATTTTAAATTATTTGTACCCTCTTCCTTGCTGAACATTTTTTTCTTATGCACCTGTTTTGTCAATTCAATTAAAATTATCAAAATAATAGATGACTAATTAAAAAATCAAGATTCTATAAAATAAATATTTAATTTTTAATTAAAATTTTTAAATGAATCGTTTCTAAAATGACTTAACAAATGACGGAGTTTTAACTGCTGGTGAATTGGAGATTTATAATTCAATTGATGACTACATTCCAGAACCATCTGCTACAAGAAGCTATTCTGTAATTTCTCGCCATTTAAAATGGAAAAAACAGATACGTTATATTCTACAATCCCTTTCAATGGGGAAAATGAAAATAAAATACTTGAAGACAATTTGCATAATAATAATCCATCAGATATTTTTAATTTTCGGCGAAGACTTATACTCCCTAATTGTAGATCAAAGTAATATTTATGCAAAACAAATAAATAAGTCTAATAATGTAAAACCATCCCAGATATTAAGAGATTTATTGGAATTCTATTATTTACTGGATATCATTATTTCCACAGTAAAAGATGCTTGTCTAATAATAGTGATATTTCTATTCCAATATTCCGGAATACAATGGCCCAATTAAAATTACTAAATTTGAAATATAATATTCATTTGACAGACAATACTAAAAACATATACATAATAGATTTTATAAAGTTAGGCCTTACAAAACCAAATTATCATAAAATGTATTTTGATAATTTCTATACCTCAAAACTTTTGTCATACTTAAAACAAATGGGATATTTTACAATTGGAACTGTGAGGGATAATAGAATGGAGCATTGGCCAGTTGAATCTATAAATGCTGTATCAAAAAAGAAAGAGGATATTATGATTATAGGTTCGAAAAATTAAACGAAATATTTATAGTTCGTTGGAATTATAATAGTGGTGACGAGGTATTCCAAGAAAATATCTTCTAAAATAAAAATTCCTCAACCAAATATGATCACTGTTTATAACAAACACATGGGTGGAGTTGATTTGTGTAATAATCCCATATCTAATATAGAATAAAAAGAGAGAAAAAAGGGCGGTGGCCAATATTTACCAATTTTATCGATGTAGCTTTGGTAAATTCGTGGAAAATTTGGAAATTCATGAATCGAGAGAAGAAGAGATTGCTTGCATTTAGGCGAGAAGTTACTACTTCCTTTGAACACCAATAAAAATTGAAGATTTAAGTTCAGGGCACGCAAGCCAGTTTGCATTATAGAGCGAAAACCCTACTGATTCATCTGGAAATTATTTATCCAAAATTATAGATGGAAAAAGACGTAGATGTAGATATTGCCATAAGCACTCAAAATATATGTGCCAAACATGTCGAATCACACTTCATACTAAATGTTTCAAGGATTTTCATAATATATAAACATTTTTTCGTTTTTATTATAAATTACAAAAAAAAGAATAAAATTTCTATTGTTTTTTGATCTTTATTATACATAATTTTTATCTTTTTTAACCTCTTAATGGTTAACGGTGCAGATATGCACCAGGCTAGATTTTCTATTTAGAATTATTTTTTTCTGCTGATTTTTTTAGAATATCATATTTGAGCATTAATCAATATAATTTGAAAAAATTGAGCATTTTTATCCACTAGAAAAATCTTGACTATTAATGGGTTTATTCAACTATTAAACTTATTTAATGTGCAAAACTTTCTGAACTCGATTTTTGTTTTTCTATCTTTAACATTAAGCGGAAGTCTCTGGTTGACATGCTCTTATCACATTCTTGAAAGCTGGATTAAGCAAATATAAGTTGTATATTTTATTTTATTTAGTATAATAAACACTTGGTAAAAATGAACTAATAAATAATAACTCTTTGATGTCGCGCTGTGGCGTAGCTAGGAATTTTCCTTAGAGGGGGTCCATACATTGCCCCCCAGACCAACATTTGACGGGCCTTCGGCTCTTTGGCCGGCCTTCGGCCGGGTTTATCTTACTAATCATAACCATATCTTCGATAATATATAATAAATATATTTTTTTAAATGCATCAATAATTTGTTTTATAATTTAGTAGATTATTCTCAATCTTTATAATAATACTATCCAGAATAATTTCAATAGTAATATAATATCCTTCCACAAATATCAAAACCAGAAAAATATAAATATTATTGGTATTTTGATATAAAGTCACAACTTATAAGTCTTTTGAACGTATAATCTAAAAATAAATTTTTGCTCTGGGAGGGGTCCAAACCCGAAAACCACCCCCGTAGCTGCGCCACTGATGCCGCGCTTATAAATGTTTTGAAAAATATTGATTTTAATTATAAAGGGAGAACGAGTACGTCTATGACTGTGCAAACGGGGTTAGCAGGCGTATAAATTTTGGTGCTTTTACATTGATTTTGATTAGTGTTCTATTCAAGTTAGAGTCGCACAATATTTTTAATATTTCTCGTGGAGTAGTGATCTCAGATCGATTCAAAATAAATGAGCCGGCTTTAAAGCTAACTCATCCGGCTAATAGAGCCACTCAATTTAAAGTCGTATTTTATGACTCCAGTCGAGTTCAGAGTCGTATTTCAAGAAAACTAATTTTGATTACCATTTTTTGCTTATGTAAAATTACTTTCTTTCAAGCTAATTTTGATTTAAATTTCCTTCTTTCAATAATTTGCTTTATTATTGGTTTAGGTAAATTGGAGTTTTTAAAGAGCTGCCTAATTAATTTTGGCAGCCAAAAAAAAAGCTTTTAATAATTTATTTTAATATCTAAAAATACCTTTAAATATATGTATAATGGCCAGAATGAATGAGATAAAAAAATAAATAGAAAATATGAGACATACTATAAGTGGGTCAAAAGGCCGGTGTAAGAAAAAACAAAGGTTTTGATAACCAGTAAAAGTCTAGGGGAGAGAGTAGATATTGAAATATTCTAATTGATGAATATAATAAAGTGGGCTGAATGAGAAGCAAGTAGTGGATTGAGACGAGTGAGATTATCGTTAATAATTTAGTCCAATCCAATGGATGGATATATATTGGAATAATAAAAACACATATTGGGACGGAGGAACAGCAGTTAGGAATGAAAAGATTTAAATTTTGTAAATATCTATGTATTAAACACGCCGTGTCACCACAATATCACGGCAGCTTAACTCAAAAAAACAAGCTGACATGGTAGAGTTAGAAAATTTTTTGTAGAAGTGTCGAGGGAAGGATATGTATATGTTCTACAGACATTATCTTGTATCAACTACATTCCTTTTAAAATATGCTATAAAGGTACAACAACAAAAAATTAGCTAACTTATTTATACAAATGTTATATCACATATTACAATATAATATTTAAAACATTTTCACAAATAAATAATATGATAAAGTTTTATATAGTTTTATTTGGGATAGATTTCAGGCAAATAAAATTTCCTCATAGTACCAATAATAGATCTATTGATCATAGGTTCATTTAATTGAGTCAAAGGATAGGCGGCATCCAAAATCTCTAAACACTTTGATAAAAGTAAAAACGAAATTATATATAAATTTTTTTTAAAAAATAGATTAATATTTATTGTTGGAGGTATCTCTTGATCAAAAAATTTGAGTTTGGATGAGACCTCGATTAAGAGAGGTACAGTTTTCAGTGGAAATAAAAAAAAACTTGATTTAAATCAAGTAAAATTTTTTCCCATAAAAGTCGTAATGAATCAAGAACCTTTTAACTATTTTAGTTATAAAGTATCCAAGAGGGGGATAAAGAGATTTATTCTATAGCATTTTTCGGTAGACCATATATTAATATCGGAACGATGGGCTTGACTTGCTGAGAGTCGTGGTAGACAAATATTGAATTCATAGAACTTGATTTGTCTCAACAATGACAACATATAGTTTATGAAATTCGTCACTTGCATTTGACCTAAATTCCATAAGTTCCAAAATAATGCTTGCTATTCAATCAAATGCCTGAAATATTTAACTTTAGTTTTATGGTGAAAAAGTTTCAAATTTGAGAATTTTTTTTTCAAATGGTGTAAATTTCTTGTTAATAAGTTTGAATATGTATTTTTTTTTTAAAGAATATATATAAATTTCATTAATCGGATAAACCATTCGTAAGTCATTTTTTAGCGCTACCCTATATATATAAATTTTAAAATGTTTCTTAAATAGAGATATACACAGTAATAAACCCATTTATAACGGTTCGGGGCCAGAAATATAAACCGTAATAAGAGGAAAGTATCACAATATTATCATGGAATATATCTGTATGTGACCACAAATCAAAATGTAGGAACCGTGAAAAATGTTATAAATGTATTTCACTATTAAATTGTTCTTCTATAAAACAGAGTTTAGGCGTTGCTAATTGGTCAAATTTTTTGATTAATCTTAGAGAGGTCAATTCTATCAATTTACAAAAAATTAGAGATAAAAAATCAAAAGAATATTTTAATTTTAAAATGTAAATTGACATATAATAAGTATAATATTATTTATACTTTATTTTTGTAAATGATTAGGTCGGGATTGTAATCTAATACTTTCGACAATACAGCCATCCTATACCAATGAATAGCTAAATAGACACTATATTTACCATAATTTTTCCTAAATTATAATAAATATATATTAAAAAAAAATTGTTAGAAATATTTAATTTTAGAATATAACTTATAATTATAGGAATTTTAGATGGGAAAACCTTTATTTACACTTTTTTGTAAGTAGAATATTCTTCAAATTACATAATACTTACTAAGAAAATATTATCAATGTGATACAAATAATTTTAATAAGTGATGGATTCACGGAACAGTAAACTATGATGAACCAGGTTATAATCTAGCTATAAAATTTGTGCTGATTAATGATTTTAATTAAATATTTGTTAACATGTTTGTGTATATGAAATATGACATTCATAAAGATTCAAAACAAAAACTTCAAAATATGTCCATTTTCCAAAGCTCTGCACATTTCATACGTTATTTTGAAGTTGATCATTGCCTCTCCGTCAGGTTTTGTAATATTTTGTCGCACAACTATCATATTAGCCTCTAATTGTTTCTGCAAGATGGTGTTGTAAACTATATTCATTGAAACCGGAAATGATATAGCATTCGACTTCTGACCAAAAGATAGAATCTTCTTAGTTAGATATCCATTAAAATAGAGTTCTTGATAAGATTGTAATTGTTCGAGATCAGAATTAGATTCTTGAAAGTCATATTTTGGTAGACATTCTAAATTTTTGTAAGAAATATTATAAAACTTTAATAGTTCTTTTAAAAATCTTAGCAAATTTACAAAATTTTAAGAAAATGAAATAAATATATTATAAAGTGTTGATATTTTAATAATTATATTGGCCAAAAATTAAAGAAATAACCATCTGTTATATCTATTATAAATTCGTCCTCCATGCTATTAGATGATTGATTTTGGGTCTTATCTGGGCAACACAATGAGCAATCACAGGTAAAATTGTAAGTGTTTTTAAAGATAAGTTGTCTAGCATAGGTTGTGGCTAACGGATTCCTGTATGAAATACGCACCTTATTGAAAATTATTTTTTTTTGAAATAGATAAGTTAGATTAAAATGTATGGATGATCTAATTTACTTAATCTCCCACCATTTCCTATTTTTTTAGTGTATTGGTTGGTACAATTATTCTAAAATTATTAGAAGGCATTAACCTTGTTTATTTAGGGTTAGGCTAGGCCATAGTTAATAGAGATGATATATAAAATGAATATATAATAATACTATCAAATAGAATCATTTGCTATGGAAAGTATTCAAAAAATAATCTGGAAATTTTTATATTAAAAAATAGATATGAGGGATTTTGTCACACATTTCCTATCGGGTAAATCTGTTTCATTTAAATTACAAAGCCTTTAATTATAAATCGAACATGGATGATTAAAATATCCCCGAAAATTTAATTAAGGGTGAATTTTATGTTTTCAAATAATATTAAAATTTTAAATTTAGTTATATTTAAGAATTTATTTAGATCAATTGTGTCATAAATAACATATAAAACATTCATGATACTTTCACATTATTAAATGATTGCACACAAAAAAATATAAAACCAAAACATAGAATACGTTAATTGTTTAAATTCATTAACATCCATTTTCGCGCTGATTTTTGAGTATACGCAAAGTTGCGCTTATTTATCGATTATTTAAATGTTTATTTTTGAATCAAGTTTCATTTTAATTCCGAATAATGAAAAATCCAAAGACGACCAAATTGATAAAAATGTTTTTATAAAGTTTAAGATTTAAATGATTGAAACTTTTATGTTGTGGTCATTTAAGGACTTTTTATAGGTTACGAAGGTAAGAGTGTTAGATATGCTTTTGATTAGAGAATACATTTGTATTAAAATTAATTAGAAGATCTAAATCTGTGCTCATAAATTTGGCCAAAACCCGGATAAAAGTGTGCCGAAAAAAGCCCATCCGGTGTCGTGGAAATATTTTTCATAAATTATATATATAATTTAATGGATAAAGTTAGCAGTTTTAAAAAAATCGGCTCTAATCAAGCCGTTTAACAAAACTACGCCCATGTTTAAATATCACATTTATTCATATTATTGTTATTATTTCTATTACATATTTTTCCAGGTCATTTGCATTGGGCAAGTAAAGATCTTCAATCAAAACCAAGTGTTGCGTCCTTCCGTTAGATATAATAATTCCGTTTGGGACACAGTTATGATTATACTTTGAAGAACTGAATATTTGTAGAAATAATGTTTTATAAAAAAAAAAACTTTCCTTGTGGGAAAGCAACAAAATTTAAAGTGAAAACTTTAATGACTTAAATGAATAATTCATTCGAACAGATTTATAAATAACATATCGTCGGTCTAGAATTGGAGTGCTCCACTTGCGCAAAAGTTTAAAATGAGAAAATCAACATTAAAGTTTAAAATCAAATATAGGAAAAACTTATTGCTCAATTTAATTCAAAATTTCAGAGATAATTTATCATATTGTCAATTAATTATAGCCTAAAAAATTTTTAATCAAAAAATTTAACTATAAAATTTATTTGATAAAATCAAAATGCAAGTGAAGCAAATATAACACTTTATGATTTTTTTTAAATGTTATAAATGCTTCATTAACATTTTTTTAAATTTAATAAATAAATTGACACTATATATCTTTATTTATTTTCTAATTTATTCTTACAATTAATAAAAATGGATATAAAATAAATCTAATATTTAATTAATAATATTTTCCATATATTCTCTATCAACTCTGGGCATGAACTCTTACATTGATCTAATATCTTTTTTAGTTTCATCGTTTATTTTGCCATTCGTTTTCGGGATCAATTTAATATGCGAAAAATTTGTTGTAACTAATTCTTTGTCAAAATTAGGCCTACGTGTTTTTGAATCCTGTAAAATAGACACTTTATTCATATTATTAGATTTAAACGATAATTTATATTGCAAATAAAAAGGTTCCGTTTTTGAAATTTTTATTGATTTTAATTTAGTGAACGGTATGTGGTTAAATTTGAATTTTTTCGAAGCAGAATGGTAATCGAAATAATTATTTGAAGTCATTTCAATTAACTCAAATGGGTTTTTGCGATTAGTACCTCTTATTAATCTATAAAGAATTAGAGGGCTATGGATCTCATTTTTTCTTAAGCATCTTTCTATTTGGCTATACCTCTTGTAAAATCGAATGGCCTGGAGCACCATATTTGATTTGTATTGTTTCGATTTGACTGGTCGTGTTATTTGCTAAATAATGTTTTAAACCATAAATTATAAAAGAATTTTTATTTTGGGCGACACAGGAATCAGCCCACAGAATTAGATGAGGGATATTTGGAAATTTTTTTTAATATCGCATCTACTAATGCTATCACACTGCAAGCTATGTCATTACCAGTTCTTCCGGTTTGGCCTTGATGCCAAATAGCACAATAACCACGTTTGTCTTGACTGCAATATACAGTTTCATTATAAACAGATAATTTTCTTTTATAATAAGAAGATCCAACCTCAGATCTTGGTAAGGTTATGACATTTTGAAGGTCAAATGATATGACTAAAATTTTTTTTGACCTAGCTATGATTCTGTCCATACCTCTTTCAATACTCTTCTCAACATAATCATCATGGTGCTTATTGTAGTTACAAATCTCTTCTTCATTCATATATTCTTTATTAATTAAATACCGCTCACATTTATCGCACCTATCTTTTACTGGTTTAGCAAATCCTATATTAAAACTATTTTTAAATATTGTTGTATAATAATGCGCCTTAACAGGAATTCTCGATAATTCATCACATTTTTTAGAATATAGATCATAAAGTATTTTAAAATTGAGACTTCCATCAAAGTATTCCTTGGAAGAATCTTTTCGCCTGTAATGAGAATGGACCTTTGGAATGGAGTTTATGTGATCGATGATGAAATCTTTATCTTGATCAGAAATAACTTTTTTAGTATTTTTACCTTGACTGGTGGAAATTAAATAAAAATAGATATCCAAAATTATCAAAAAATACGAGAGATTATTTTGATTAAATAAATAAATTTTATATTTACATCACCTAATAAATTCCTAGTTTAAAAAAAGAATTTTGATTCAGTTAAATTTTGAGAGTTGGTTCTTAGCCCTGTTTTTATGGTAATGCTTCATGATTTTTTTTTCCATGTTTATTTAAAACTAGAAATTAAGGGTTTTATAAAATATATCAGGTTAAACCTAGTCACAACAATAATAACTTAGAAATAAGCAAATATGTGGATGAAGCCACAATTTGTAATAATACAAATCCATTAGACTGGTGGAAATTAAATAAAAATAGATATCCAAAATTATCAAAAATTGCCAGCTTGATTAAATAAAAAAAATGAAATTTATTATATTAACAAACTAATACATAATAATTCATATATTTAATTTATAATATGTAATAATATAAAATTTACCTCGACATTAAAATAGGAATAGAGATAAATATAATGAAAATTATACGATTCAATATGGAAAGCAAAAAATTAAAAAAGGAGGGAAATACAACACGTGATTAAATAAGATAATATGATAGGGCATGCATATGAAGCAAAAATTACATCGTTATATGAAAATAGACAGAGCTATAACTTTGGCAAAAATTAATATTTTTTAATCTAGTTTTTATTTTTATATATATTAGGAATAAATAAATTATTATCCACTTCTAACTCAAAAATTTTGAAAATGTCGAGTGGAGCACTTAATTTTAGACCGACGATATATTAATTAAAAATAATAATTAAATAAAAGTATTGTCTCCAGTAAGTCACCATCATTCATTTAAATATTAATTGGCTAATGAATTAAATATTTATATTTACACGATACAGCGGCCAGTCAAAGAAGGATGGGTTAATTATAACATCTCCCCCAACCCCCAATATTTAATGGCAGACGAATCAGAAATTTTAATTTATTTTTAAAAAATATTTAGGCCCCAGATTGGTCTTTGGGCTAGCTCTCAGGACTCTACCTCTAAGCGGATAGATTTTTTGATTAGCTCTCAAATGACAATTATTTTCAGAAAAAATATATTTTATATAAAATCCCATTTAAGGTTTGTATTTAAAATATTTGTTAATTATTTTTCTTCTTCAAATACAAATGTTTTATTTCATCTCATTTTACAATATTTTACTAATTGGTGTATTCTTAAATTACGCCGAAAAGAAAATGTTTTAATCATGTGATGAGTTGCGCAACGGAATGGGGTATGCGAGAACGGGCGCTTTTTTTCACCCAAGTTTCGAATTATTTTTTATCGTCTTCTGCTAAGGCCTCGAACATTGAATAATGTTACACTTAGACATGGCGATTCATTCATTTTAATATTTACCAATATACAAATCAGCTGGTGACCCGCCATTTTGTTGTCCGCAATATAAATAATTTATATTGACAATTTTATAAAAATTCAACTATAAATCAAAATGGCATTGTCATCAGCTGATTTGCATACAACCTTTTTGTATTTAACTAATTCGAGAGAATTAATTCTTTCTCCTCTTTCATAATATTTATTTTAAATTTGAATATATACTTGAGGAAAATTCCGACACCTATTTCTTGCCGGTGTTCGTCCCTGATATAAAATGAATTAGTCGTAATCTATAAATTTAAATAGAAAAGATATAATATGACAGCGGATGAATACTTTTATTTGTAATTAATTATACGCTTTAGGGTCGCAGTCGGATAATGCCAGACACGCAAAATGGTCTCCATTTAAATATAATACCCTCTGTTTTAAATGGTCTAAAAATAACGAAACCGAAGGGTAGACCAATTTAAAAAAAAAAATTTCAATTATATGATGGATCATTTTAAAAAAAAACATTCATTCGTATCTCAAATTTTTCTATTTCCGTTTTGAAAATTATTTTTTTTAAATTAGATGTATATAATTATTTAAGGTGAAATCTAAAAAAAAAATAGACTCAGCCTGTTAAATTAATCAAAATCCCCCTCAAAAAATGCCCAGGCTGGAAATAATTTTCTTAAAAAATTCGCACCTAAAATCCAACAGATGTTCGATAACTCTAAAGAATTTTTTTAGCCTTTTAAATGACCCAGTAATAATATCATGTTTTAATATAAATTAAAATTTCGCCATATTTAATTTAGCGCGAACCTATAAATAGCATCCTCTGATAATACTCTTTCAAATATTAGAATGTTACATTTCTTACATTTGATTCAATGACACATATAATACCTAGACTGACGATTCATTCATTAAAAGTGTACATCAATGCAAATCAGCTGGGGAGGGCATCTTGGTTACACTAATCATTATTAAAATTTTAAACGAGAGCCTAATTTATTCCTATATCTGATGCAAACTTTATTAAAGATTTACCGGATCATCGAGATAATAAGGAAGCAAGGATTAATTTAATAGTAGTTTTTAACATGAGAATAATTACTACATAGGTTACCAAAATGGCGGGTCCAGCTGATTTGCTTTTAAAGACGCTTAAAAATGCATTTTAATGAATGAATCGGTATTATATATGCCATTGATTTGATTTTAGTTTTCATTTACAATTTTGTGAAAAATTTGAATTATGGTCTATTTTAAAAATTATATATAATAAGAGATTTTCTGTTTTATCGCAGATTATGCATTTCAAAATTGTATCATGCAAATTTATAATTTTTTTGCATAATAAGCGCAAAAGTAAACGTTAAAAGTGAATGCCTCAATTTGAAATCCCCAATTAATGATCGTTTATTTTAATAAAAACTGGAGTATTGATTCTAATTTTTTGTATAAAATATCTAAACACCATCGTTTATTAACAATATAAACAAAAATTGTTTAAAGGTGTAGTGAGTTTGCCTAGTCGCATAGATCTGGGTTCGAATCTAGGAAAATTTTGGATTTTTCTCCTGAACCTAACCAGGTGGGGGTGTGCAACTAGGTATGATAAAGTGGACCAGAAAATATTCCCTTAATTTCACCTTTTAATATTTAAAAATGGGTCTTATTGAATTTTAATAAATTTGGTTGTTTTCTTTGGGAAACTCTATAATTTTTATTTGCTATATTGATATTAATTTTTAACTTTGAGGGAGTTACTTTCACTTTCCATTTTACCCGAGATGGGAGGGTAAAAACTTTTTAAAATGAGGAGAAGATCAAATAAAACCTAAAAAAAGAGCGGATGATTAGGAATTTAGATGGAGAAGACAGATTTCTCTGGAGTTTTTTTTGCCTGAATTAAATAACCTCATTTGGTATCATTAGTATATCTGTGGTTATTTTTTTAAGATTCCCCAAAACTTGGTGGGGGGGGGGGGATGATTGGAATGAAAAAATTATTTTTAAGGTCCGCACTTTATTAGAGGATCAGGAAAACTTTGACATTGTTTTTAATATTTTAAAGATTTACTATTTTATTATTTTACATTTTAGATTCTTGGAAGATTTTAAGCTTATGAATAGTAAAAAAAAAATAATAAATAAATAACAATTTCTAATTCTAGTAATTTATACCGTAAATATGGTTGAATGTAGTAATCATTTTTTTTGAAAATAATACTTTATTTAACCTACCTTGCACCATATATGGGGCATTGTGTACTCATATTTATCCAATATTGCCTTGGGCAATGAATCTTTGATTAATTCAAGAAGAGAAGTTATTTTGGAACCGGAAATCTTCATTTCCTCAAGAAAGTGCTCCTTTAAATCCATGAACTTGTATTTGTTCAATTTAATTTTTTCATTGCAATAAGATATCAATTTTTCTGGGTTCTTAGTTGATTCGCGCTTTGAATTAATATATTTTAAAAAAAAATTAGAAAATACACATTATTTTTTTAAAAAATATTTCGAAATGCCCATATTCATAGTCTTGTATTATACCATTGACTAATCCCTCTACACTATGTTCTAATTGAATTGGTATCTTTCTTGTTTTAGCAATAAATCTCAATTCTAAAAATAATTAAAATCTATAGGTTGAGAAAGAAAGAAATTATAGTTTTTTTTGTAAATTCCATCAATAGATCACACAACGTTATGCACTTTCAAAGTTGGAAAAACCGAACTATCCAACATGTAAAAAATTTTTTATTATTAATATTTACATTTAGCCAGACGATAATAATAAAAAGAAAAAGGTTTTCGGTAAATGACTTGAGTTTAATTTAAATTTTATACAGAGAAAACATAGAGAGGTCAAAAGGTTTTAGAAGAAGTTTCCTAACTTATACTAGTCTATCGCAGTCCTTCTTTAAAATGATAAGGTGAAAGTTGCAATTTCAGTGAGAAAAAAAAACAAATCACAAACCAAACGATAGCCAGTACAAAATTTGACCCAAATTAATTGTAAATTTTGATATTATCACGTTTTTTGGCGAATTGTAAAGTTTAATAAAATTTAAAAAAACATGAATTTTGTTTGTGTAATTTTGAATGTGCATAACTTTGGACTCTTTTGATAGAATTTGGATGAAATTAGTAGAAAAGCATAACCATGTTTTTATCCAAAAATATTCCAATCAATCTTCAAGTTGAAACTCAACTTAGAGGTTTAATTCAATTTTTTAGGCTAAAAGCTTGGCTAAGCCACAATAGAGATGGCCAAAGTTAGATAATTTTCGATCTATAAGATTTTATCGAATTAATTTCATAATGACAATTCAATTGGAACACATTTGTATATTGCGCTAACGGTAAAATACGAGCCAAGCCGTAAAATCTTTTCAAATTCCTTTACAGGCCGATTCAGGTCATGCTATGGTATGGTTGGAGCGGTGTCTTAAAAACGTCATTTATTGTAAAAGAACTGAAGAAAATTATTAATATACATAAACAAGAGAAAATAATAGGCAATCAAAAGCCAAATCTCGTTGATAAATTAATTGGAAGTCATTAGAAATCGAAATCTAGGTAAAATTAAGCGGAAAAAATAAGAATCGAAAAGCCCCTACCAACATCTGGACTAGGACTTGGACTGTACGTGATAAATGCAATTTTTAATAGTCCACATTATGCCTTGGTCTAAATGCAAATTTCTTTTATACAGTTATAAGGACGAATCATTGTTATTTCTGAGCTTGAAATCAATTTGATACAAGATAAAATAAATTCATGAATCGGTAAAAAAAAATTATACATATAAAAGTTCTGTCTCTTTCTCCCTCTAAATTTTACCATCAATTTTAATATCACGAAATTGAATAAATATCATGTCACTGGACTCATTACTAAGTTGCTACACCAATAAATCACGTATACTTCATCGTTATTTTTGAATGGAAGATTTAAGTAGAATAAATTTATTTATGTTTTAAAATTTAAGGGAGTTTTTTTTTAAAAAAAAATTACATTACATAAATGAACATTGATAAAAAAAAACTAAATTCAAATATATATACTTCAAGCTTGAAAATTATGCGAATTATGAGGTGAATATGGTAATCAAATTGGACGCGATCTTCCATAGGTATTCTTCTAAATATTTTACATTCATTTTTATGATCAATCCAATCCTTTGCCTATAAAATAGAAATGAAATGAGTATAAATATAATTAAAATTACGTATATGGGCATTACTTTCATTTAGTAAATTGAGTAATAAATAAATTTTCATAACGATTATAAATTTAAATCCATTTTACGGGGGTCACTATTCATACCCTTTTACTATTTCTGAAAGAGAGCCCTTAATAGATATAACCTTTTCCAATGTTAATTTATGGCGGAAAAACTATTTAAGCCTTTATTAAACTCGGCCTATGGTAGTAGCAGATTAGGGGCCTGAACAAAAGTAAGAGGACAAAAAATAAATTTTCTGATCAAATAAGTAGATTCTCTCATATTTAATGTAAATGTTTTAAATCTAATTTTTACTACCATCATAAAATTTTACAATAATAATATAACGTCGGTCTAGAATTGGAGTGCTCCACTCGACATTTTCAAAATTTTTGAGTTAGAAGATGGATAATAACTTAGTTATTCCCAATATATATATAAATAAAAACTTGATTAAAAATTATTAATTTTTGCCAAAGTTATTGTCAAAATGGATCAATAACTTTTTTCTATATTTTATTTTAAACTTTAATGTTGATTTTCCTCATTTTAAACATTCAAAATTTTTGAGTTAGAAGTGGATAATAACTTATTTATTCCTAATATAAATATAAATAAAAACTAGATTAAAAAATATTAATATTTGTCAAAGTTATTAGCAACTGATCATAACTTTTTCCTATATTTTATTTTAAACTAATGTTGATTTTCTCATTTTAAACATTTGCGCAAATGGAGCACTCTAATTCTAAACCGACGATATACATTTTTTCTGAATCATCAAATCTAATTGAAAGGTAATTTTTGTAGGCAGTGTTAGATTATTTAAATATGGAAGAATAAATAACCAAATCAAACAAGATAAAATAGTTTTATTATTGCCTGTGAAATTGCAAAATCTTTATTCTTATTCCTTGGTAATTCTTCTAGATATAAAGATAAATGACAATCTTTAAAAGAGTGAGTATAGCTGATTTATATCTGAAATTTTTGAGTTATGTGTGGTCACGATTTTTTATAAGTGGTGAACGAGCATTTTTGTCATTAAAGTATATATCAAAGGTCTCCAAATGACAAAATTGTTAAGCCCTGCCCGGTAGAAATTTAGATAATTCATATTTGGTCAAATTTATAACCGGCTCAGCTTAGTTTTAATTTTTTTTAACTAGGGTTGCCCAGCCTGGCCCTAATTTAAACCTAAACCAAAATATATTATGCTGACAACCAAAATAACAACAATTTATAATCTTGTGGAGTGATTAAATTAAAAACACAATAGGAAAGATGTGCCATAAATGGCCATGTTTAACTGGCCATTACACTTTAACTTTTTATCTATTGGAAAGATTTTTTCTCAAAATTGGTCAAAATGTGTATATTTATGATATTTGCCTTGCTTAAGTTCGTTTAATGAATAGAGCAATCCAGTTAAATAATATTTTTTAAAAAACTGTTTTTAGTACCTACTTCTAGAAAAATCACGTTACATATTTTTTTTCTTTTAAAAAATTACATAAATATTATCCTTAGTAGGTATTTGGCATTATTCACACAAAAAAATTTAGAGCTTACAAGTTTTATTTAATAGGCATATAAAGGCGGCTGAATAAGATACAAGTGTATTGTCTACATTCACCGATTCATATTAAAATGAATAACTCGTGCAAAACAATATTTGGTGAAATTTCAAATGAAACAAACTTAAGAATGTTTAATAAAAAGATAATTAAGATATTAATTTATTATATTATCATTAAATAGATGATGATAATTTGAGATGATTATTGATTTTTTTATATACCTAAAAAAATGAAGAAATATAAATATAGGTCTTTTACAAGTATTTCATATTGTGATATCTTATTTTTATGATTAAATAATGAACAGTTAACACATCCATGTTTTGACTGGCCAGAAAAAGAACCTCACATAACCTTTATCTAGCAAACTATTATAAATAGAGCTTTGATTTAAATTTTATTTTAAAGATTAAGAATTGGGCTACACATTGATATAAAAAATTTGTCTGTTTTAACCCAAATATTAATGCTTTAATTTGAAAAAAAACAAAAACAGCCATTTATGGCGCATTAACCAGTACTTTTAAATTATCACTTTTATGAAGTGCCAGAATTCATCAAATATATATATATTATTTTTTTTCCCCGGCCCTATAAAAAAATTTCAGACGCTACCCGGTTGGGTAACGGGGTGAGCCGATACCGCAAAACTTTAGTGTATATTGTCAGACTTATATGGAAGTTAAAAATATTTTGAAAAAAAAATATAAATTATTTTATTGTAAGTCAATAGGTCTACTTATTATAGGCCCATTGGCTATATTTTATTTGTATAAAAATGATTTTTAGGTTTACACTTATAATTTTATAAAAAAAATAAATATCTTTTTAAACTGGTGTTTTTGTTATTTCAAATAAATTTGCTAATAGAGTTAGAATATTTCCGGATCAGCCCGAACAAATTGTTCAAAATATTTTTATAAATCAGCCCGAATTTATTATTTTTTATATTTAATTCGAACAAATTTACATCAAATTATTTTATTCATGAAAAGAATTATCATGGGACAAACAAGGGTTAAAATATCTTTTAAACTGGTGTTTTTGTTATTTCAAATAAATTTGCTAATAGAGTTAGAATATTTCCGGATCAGCCCGAACAAATTGTTCAAAATATTTTTATAAATCAGCCCGAATTTATTATTTTTTATATTTAATTCGAACAAATTTACATAAATTATTTTATTCATGAAAAGAATTATCATGGGACAAACAAGGGTTAAAATAATTAAGGAGGACCGGCCTCAAAAACCCCGATAGAAAATTCCACGGGCCAATTTTTATTTTATAATCCTTGTGTGTACACCTGTGAACCCGAACCCGTTATAGAATTTTTTTAACTACCCGAACTCTCTTTTAGAACTAAGGTTTTGAGTTATGTTCAAAACATAATATTTTTAAATTAAATCTTAATAAAAATTAGAAGAATATACTTGGCATTCCTTGTTACAGTATCTATGTAATCTACAGCCCATGCAATAAAAAAGCTTGTTCTTTGTGCTAATTTTTTTTTTAAATTTTTTTAAATATTATCTGTAGGGTGAATCGATTTTTAAAAAAGGAAATCATAAAATTTTAATAATAAATATAAATATGACAAAAAAATTACTTAATTAAAATTTTACGAAAGTTAATCTTAAATAGGTTTCCCCTATCCCTCTAAAAATATTATTACTACCCATAAAATTTTAATCCGGATCAGAATTACCAGAACAAAAGAAGGATTATAAATTTTACTTTTTCTCTCAAAGGACGAAGCGGGATTCAATGATATAATAAGTCCCAAAGATAATAGTAGGGTAGGTAACTAAACGAGATGTATATACACACTATTAGATTGGCGATTCAATCATTATATGCATTTAAAAGTGTTCATGCATAGGAGTAAGCTGTACCGCCATTTTGTAGTTAGCACGCATTTATATATAATACATAAAGACAATTAGTCGAAGGGCACACCACAACAATGGGGCTACAGCTGACTCCTATGTATGATCACTTTAATTATCAAATAACCAATTGTTGCAAATCTGCACACTCTGGTATTCATTCACAGTCAAATCTGATGTTTAAAATATATAAAATTACCTTCAATAAAGGATTTTATATCAAAGGATCCCGAATCAGCGTTAATTTCCATATTCCATTCCAGATATATAATATTTAATTAAACAAGTTTATAATTAAATTCGAAGGATTATAAGGGAGGTAGGTATATGATTTAATAGCTTAGTGATACGCAATTTATGGCAACAGCACAGCTAGGAATTAGCTTAAGATGGTGGGGGGGGGGGGTTAACTTTTGAAATTTATAATATGATTATATAGGCCTAATAGGTTAGAATAAATATTTAATATCTATAAATTCCCAAATAAAAATTCCCAATAAAATATTATTTTATCCGTTAGCTAACCGAAAAAACTAGATCTTTTTAAAAATATTCTAGAAAAAAAAATTTCTATTAAAACTCAGCTCACACTTTCGGAAAACTAGGAAAAATAGCTGAGACTAAAAAGAACTATCAGCAAAAATTATTTAATATATATTACTTCCAGAGTTGCTACTAAGTTATAGAATTGATTCTTAGATTATCGAAAAAAATTAAAAATAAATAGATTGCTAAGGAGTTGTCAGCCCCATATTTTTCCACCACAATAAAGTACTATACATAGAAGAATTAAATTTAATAATATTTAAACCCTTTTCTCAATTTTTAAGATAAATATTTAAAACTTATTACGATTTGTTTTTTTAAAGATAACAACACTTATTACTTTGTCAACTTGACTTCGATTTTCTTCGTCCTCGCTCCAATAAAATTTATGGGTTATTTAAAAGTATTACCCCCCCCCCTGGGTTGACCAGATATGATTATAAAACTAGTTTTTTTTAAAAATTATACAAGTTTATAATTTGAGCTTTAAATTATAAATATATAATTATTATTTGTATAAGTTAAATTATGTGAGAGTGAAAGACCCCTCTCAAAAATAACAAAAATCTCAAATATTTTGAACGTTTCATTTTATGAATAATTATACTTACAAACAATAAGAGCAAAGAGTACTTCTACAATTATTTAAAAGAGTTGCAGCGTACACTTCTTCGGAAAATAGTAATGTTCCTCTTCTTAATAGAATACCTTCAATCATGATCCTAGATTATGTTATTTTAAATTATAAATTTAAAACAATATCTAATTTATTTTTAATTTGTTTTAAAATGAATTGAGATGATTTAATATCATTTAACTAAATTAAAAAAAAATAAAATAATAAAATAAAATAAAAGATTTTAATTTGTTTTTTAAAAAAAAGTAAATTTAAAAAAAAATAATAATAAAGAAACAACTCATCGCCATCGCTGTCGCTGTTGTTGTTAAACGGCTCGATTTGAGCAGATTTTTAAAAACGGCCAACTCAATACTTTATTCAGAAAAATATTACGCAGGCTTAAAGATTTTGTTCATAGATGGTACAAAGGTTTGGACATCTTAGCGAAACCTCGAGGCTTAGGAAATATTTTTCTGGCTAAAATATTAAGTCAGCCTTTTTTTAAAAAATCGGCTTAAATGAAGCCATTTTGATTGGTAAAAGTTACGACCAAATTTGGTGCTTAGGTCTGCTCTGAGCACAAACCTGTGATACAAAGTCATAATTATTACCCTAAATTGGCGTGTCTATACCTTAGATGTCAACACAAAATATCTATAGGGGTATCGAATAAAAGATAATATTATTATCTTTAAATTGTTATCATGATTTTTAATCAAAGTGGACAGGTCTAGGTTTTCCGGAGGAGTCAGGAATATTGATGTCAACTAAATATCATTATGGATATCAATTAAAAAATATGACTCTAAGTGGGCGGTTTTAGAATTGGTGTGGGGGGAATAGGGGGGTCAGGAATATTTTTATCATAAAAATATAGCGATATGCAATTGGTATCAAATAAAAGCCATTTGAAATATCTTTTAACTGAAATAATAGTATTCACTTTTGGTCTGAATGGGTTAAACTCTGTTTAAGGGGAAGGAGGTAGGAAATTAAAAAATAAAAATTCATGGTTATCAAATAAAAGGTATTAAATAATTGTTTGATGGCAATAATAATTATCACTCTAAGTGGGCAGGTAGAAATTTTGTAAGGTCTAGTCTAGAATATGAATATTTTTTTATAACACATATATTCAATATAGATGAATATTAAAAAAAATATATAATTAAATTATCCTTTAACTCTATAAGATGAAATAATCTCTATAAGTAGGCCGGGTTAGGTCTGGGATGGAAGGGAGAGGGGATATTGGAATTTAAAATTCAATTTTTTTTAAAAAAAACACAATCTAAGTTTATACGATTCAACATCAGAAATCGAGTTGTTATTTGAGTTAGCAATTTATATTTTATTTTAATAAGATTATTTGTTTTTAATCATTATTTTTTTGTGTTTCAAATGAGTTTATTATTAAAAAACTAAATTTAAAAACAAAGGTCATATAAAAACGAATTAAGGTTAATAAAAATTTAAAAATTTAAATTATATAATTTTTTTTATATAACAAAAGTAGCGGTTTAATTTACAACAGAATATGAATATATATTTTGTAAAAGAAAAATGATAAAAATTTAAAATTCATGAAAATTTTTTTAATTTTTTTGGAAGTATAAAATTTTTTTTCCGGTCATGGGTTATATTTGAATATTTACTGATATGGTATGGTATTATGTCAAAATGTATTACAAAATAATTAATTTTTTAAAAAGGTAAAATAAATAAAGTTGAAAAATTGTAGAAATAGAATTTACGGGAAAGGATAGGGGATAAAAAAAAAGGAAGCTTGGAAAATGGAGGGTTAATTAATGGAAGAGATGAAGCTTAGATAGTTACGAATGATGGCGGTAGCAAGTCTTTGGCGTAAAAAGAGGTATTCCTTAGGCTGATCGGTTTTTTCGAGGATCCGTCTTTAAAAAAACGTTGAGCTTTGCTATCAAACGTGGTGAGAATGGAGCAGGCGATGGGTATGAAGGGTCTAAGTAACTGTACTTTATGGTTTTGCGGGATTCAGCGAGGGCGAGGGTATCGACGTTATGGTTAGATGGTGCATTTGGGTCAATGCAGGTGAAGTCCCAAACCAGGAGCTGACCCCTTGACCAGGGGATCAAGGACATACTATCAGGACTTCCTTCGGTTCTAAAAATTCCGGTTGTTTCTAGTCTAGATGGAATTCCTCCTGATTTCAGGGCACGTAAAAGGATTTCATTGCATTTGGTGTGCCGTGAAAAGCGGCCATGACAAAAGCGACAATGGAGGCAGTGCCTACCCTTGCTGACGACGCTGGTTTCGCAATGTTTGCATTGGTACGGAAAAACAATTGAGCCCTAGTCTAATAGCAAATCTTAGCTCATCAGCGGTGAGCAACAAATCGAGGTTGTTGGAGGGTATGGTTTCCAGAAACTCATAACCAGATCCTTGGTTCATTTGGTGGAAAACTATAAGATCGTCGTCGTGAAGGCTCGATTTTAGGTAAGCGACGGAGCCTTCGTTGAGTGAAATATCCCAGTCTCTCTGTGAACATGAGAAGCGTGGAATATTTGGGACAACTTCTGGGCTTCAGCTAATAAGGGGTCAGGGAAGTTGGAAAACTGGCTAATGTGTGAGTCGGATGAAAGACGAGAGGCGATGAAACCACTGATGGAAAGAGTTAGAGGTGAGCGTAAGCCGATACTCCCGAGCTTGCATGGAAGTGATGCTTGTAGCCATGAATTATGGTTAAAGCGGAGATTATGGATCTTTTCGGCAAGAGATTTGACGGAGATTTCAAAAGATTTTAATGAGTCGGGGAATTTGAAAATTGAGGTGGATCGAAGAGAGAGAATTTTAGGAATGTAATGAGAAACTTAGAGATGTTTTTGTAAGTAAGCTGGATGATGCGTTAGTGAAGAAGTGATTAATGGATTCCAGGCCACCGATTGGAGAACCGAGATGACTGAGATGAGAGTTCGGTTGTGTGGAAGTTGTGGTTGAATGAGATGGAATGAAATGGGTATATCTCAGTTTTTTGTTCGTTGAGTGAGAGACCGATAGCATGGGAATGTGTTATGATGATAGTGAGTGCCTTAGCAACCTCGTTAGGACCGCAGAATATTCCGTCATCAATGTACCAAGTATGCAGTGAAATGTTTTTGACCATTTCGTTGATTCCAATGCAGTAAAGTATAAATCCCAAAGGATCGCCTTGTTGGATCCCTTCGGATGATGAAAGTAAATAATTGTTAAATTGGAGATGAGAAGGCTTGGAGTAGCAAGAATGGAAGAATTGAGAAAAGGTGGGGAATGAGTGGTACATTTGTGAGAGAAAGTGAGAGCGGCGAATAGAGTTTAAGGCGTTAGAAATCAATTTTAACAAGGATTTCGTGGGTTGGTTTGGAGATGGATACGAATAGCGTGTGTGGCTATTTCGCAGCCTCCTTGGATGCCGATTCCAAGTTGGTGAGGTGCTAAAATTAAGACTGCATTGTCCTTAATTTTGGAAGATATTAGTTTAGCGACAAAACGGCGAAATACAGTTCCAATTGCAGTTGGGCGTAATCCTTATTAGGTTTTTCGAGTTCAATTAGTTTAGCACCGAATAAGAGTGGTCTGATGAACTCGGGAACTAAGCCGTGTGCTATTTTGTTATAAAATGTTGTTAAATATGTAATATTAAAAATAATCCCATATAACATGAAAACAAAAGTTTATTTTTCAAAAAAAGGAAATTATACTATTATAATATAAGACAAAGGTATATTTATTATTTTTAAAATCTAAAATTATGCCAATTGAACGATATAAAATTTTTTTAATTATAAATGTAAATTATACATTAATTAATAAAAAATTTTAATTTTGAAAAATATGATTTTTTTTTAGTTAAATTAAGTCTTCCATCATCGATGATTGAATCATCGTCATCAGATACATTTAATATCTCTTCGTAATCACTAATTTTTTGGGATATATATCAGAGATGTGCTAGGCTAGTTAAAATTTTTTGCATAACTTTCGGGAAATTATATTAAAAGTATGCCATAGCCCGGATTATTTTTGTATTAATTTTCAGGTTAACACAATTTAATTATCTATATTTAATTTTTTTTTCTCCAATGTCAATGAAGGACTCTTATATAACCTCTATGGCCATCTATTGCTATAACAACTGCTCTATAAATCATTGTGCTTGATTTTTATGGTTTGATATCTATATTGTTTATTTGCTATTGGATCATGATCATATCTTAAAAAATAACTGGTTTAATTTACTGCATAATTTATAAATTTAATATTTTAAATAAGACAAGCTCTTAAGGAAGAAATCAACATATAATAATTTATTTTCAAAGAGTGAATCAAGATCAAAATATGAGCTTGAAATCCAAAAAAATTTTCTTTTTCTGATTTAGGATATAGATCGTGGTTTCTTTTAAACCGAGTTTTAAGATTTTAGGGATTTGGTTCAAACTCTGATTATTAATGAATCATACCAGATTAAACATAATTTGCATATAAAGGCGCATTTCATAGAAATTTTAAATAAGCGGCTCTTTCAGGTTATAGTGTCTAGATTTTCTTATCGGATTTTTTTCAAACTCTGAATATAACAGCTGCCGACTTTGATATCAAATCTGATTCTCAATCTGATATTGAGTTTATTTTAATCTAACCTTGTGGACAATGCATTATGAGATATAAAATATTGTTATCCTCTACAATATGATAAAAGTTCGAGTGTTAATAAATATGAAATTTAAAATCATTTATTTTAATAAGGCTAATGACTAAAATCTTTAGCATTACATTTTAAATCACTATAATAATAGAATATCAATTAATACAAAATTTCTCAGTTAAAAAACACTGATTTCTTAATAGAAGTCCATGGGGTATCCTAAAGTTGATACTCAGAGGTTAAGAGATCTGAATTTTTTGAAACCAATCTCCTTTAGGAGGAAAAATCAAAAGGTTTGGGTCTGATTTAAACTGGAAATGCCTATCTAAGCAAACTACAAATAATTTAGGTAAAAATTATTTATATACTTTAATAATTAAAATTTAATTTCTTATTTTTAGTGTTATTAAATGGCACGATTAGAATTTTAACCAAATATATAAGCCCCGAGATTTGGCAAAATGAGGCTCAAACCTTTCTGCTACCTATGAGCAAAATGTCCAGATCTTAAAAGAGTAGTTTTTAATAATCTACCCAAACAGGGCCGTTTAAAATCACCACTTACATTATGAACAAGTTCTAAAAGTTACTAGATATTTTCAATTGTGGTAAACGTTATTTGTTAAAATATGCTTATCTAGTTGTGTTAATCTGAATATTCATAAATTTTCTCCTATTTAGGTGAGATTAAAACTAAAATGTTAAGAAAAATATATAATTAAGCTCTCATAATAAAGAAATTATTCAAGCTCAGATAAAACTTAATTGCCTAGAAACTCAGATTAAGAAAATCTCTCAGAAAATATGAAACACTAAGATTTCGTCTTGGATTTTAAGAAAAACTACACATGTGAGATTCAGTAAAAATTATGAACTTTAACTACTTTAATTTCTAGCAATTAATGGAAATAATTCTGAGAGTGCCACTTTTATTCTGAGCGCATAAGCCATTCATAATAATAAATATTCATTATTTTTTTAAAATAATATTCTAGCATATTTTTTAAAATACAAATAAATTAAATATAACCCATGTAGAAACTTTCCTTGTAACCATGGAATTCGTGAAACTCCATCGGACGCATACCATATGAGAAGAGACCAGAAGGCTCCAATAAGGTAGGAAAACCAGCTGACCTAATTGTAAGAGATCGAACCTCGAGTGCCGAATTTGTCGACCGGGATTATGATTGCAATGTAAAGGATGAAGCGCCATATTGTAATCATCAGTATGACATTTGCTGCATTTATATGGTAAAAAAGGAATGTTAAGCCTGTTATATAGAGCATAACTGAGCTCGTGGTTGTCCAATTTAAGTTTGAGATTTCTATACGAAATAACATCTAAAAATTTATATCGCCGCTCCTTGATAAGTTCAATGAATGTTGACCTGGCCAAAGGTGAAAGACTCGAAATAAGGTAATCAACGGAGATTTTCACAAGTGGTATAATTAAAATTCCCTAACCATCACGTTTAATCATGGTAAAAGGACTGAAAAACGCTTGATAGTAGGAAAAATTTCTTCATATCTTCTTTACCTGGGAAACCAAAATTCTTAAATTAAAATTAAATATAAACTAATAATATGGACAAGTTATAGATAATGTTAACATGATTTTAAAAACAATCCACAACAAAATAAGATATGCAACTCAATGTGATGATCAAGAAGCAGCATGGAAGTTGGACAATGAGCTATGAATTCTATATAGTTAATCAATGAAGATTTACAAGACAATTACAAATGCATGTAAGAAGAAAAGTTATTATAATTTAAAATACCATTCCAAAATTAAGTCATAACCTATAACATAAAATAACTTATAACGTAAATATTAAAATCATATCGTATATAAATGAACACAAAGTAAACCTTGAAGAATATTTATTAAAAAATGAAAGATTTTCTTAACAACCTACCTGATTATTCATATTTTTGATTTCTTGGATTATGACCAAATGTTGAAATTAACTAATGGTGAATTCATGGGCACAATAAAAGGGTATTATGAATATAAATCATCTTTAGTTCAACCACTTAATCATTATAAAATTCACAATATTGACAATTTTTAATCTAAACTCATTATAAAAAAGGTTATAATAGTAATTGTCATAATCATAATAATCCAGGTAATTATTATAGGAATAATCAATAAAAAAATTATAATAAGTTAGATATAAATAATTATAAAGATGAAATTATTTACCTGGTGCATTTTACTTATACATTAAAGTTATTTTACTAGCAATATAATTAAAATAATGGGGGAGGGGGGGGGGAATGCGTTTTCTGACATATTCATTACTATACTGAAGAAAAGATATATTTATTTAAAATTTTATATATAACCCAAAAATATTGACATAGAAAAATAATAAAGACCAAGAAGGTATCCCTGGTTGAGATAATTTTTGCTAGTAATTTCTGTTAGGTTGGGCTATTTTTATAAAATTATTTTATGTTGGTTACTATTTTTCAAATATATTTTTCACTAGTTTTTAAAATATTTTTATTCTTTATCTATTCAAATTCAGTTATAAATGATCTTGTAATAAATTTACATAATTTCTTTAAAAAAATATAATATAAAATACTCAAACTGTAGTTTTTATAATATTATTTTTGCTAAAATCTTAGACCCAAATTGGGTAGTTATTCAACACTACATAAACAACAACTAGCAAAATTATTTATTAAACAAAAAATTTATAAAAAAATTTGATACAGATATTAACATTATCAGATATAAAATTTTATATTTATTATAGTTTTATTTCAGGTAGAACAATATTTCCTCATAAAACCAATTATAGATTTATTGATCTTAGGTTCATTTAACTGAGTTTAGGATACGCGGCTTCCAAAATCTCTAAACACTTTGATAGAAATAAAGAAAAAAATATATAAATTTGACTTTTCTGAATCGAAAAAAAATTAAGAATTTGAATGAAAAAGGTTCTATAGTTCAAGTATAAATAAAAAAACTTTATTTAAATCAATTTTTTTCAATATATCATCAAAATTTATCACTTAAACGTGGCAATTAATATACCATTTGGATGATTAAACTTATTTTAGTTAAATAAATGAAAATAGTTTTTCTTTTAAAAATTTAAAATATAATAACATTAATTTTTTTTATTAATTATAGGATATAACACAATATTAAAGATTAACTAATTTTTTATCCTTTACTATTCTAAGCCTGCTTCTAAGTTAGGATATATGTAGCTGAAGTAATGCCATATCAAATAAAATACTAAGGTTTTGTAAAGGGGATTTATATATAACTATAAATTTGTTAATTGTAAATAATAATTATCTTGAATATGATTTAATTATATATATTTTGTAGGCCTATCTATCCAGTGTTTAGTGAAATACTTTTTTTTCGATGAATCTAATCTTGAGTGTTAAATCCCTCATTAGTAATAAAAATGTTAAATAATAGTTTATAATTATTTATATTTAATTGTTATATGATTCTATGTCCACTTTTCAAATATAATATAATTATAAAATTTCATATCCTTAAAATAATTATACTAAAAATAAAGTCATGTGATATAAATAGGCCTCTTCATCTCAAAAAATCTTAATAAATAATCCAATCAAAATATACTTATAAAATGAACAAAGTTACAAATTTTCCTGTAATGATTAAAAAAAATAATTTAAAATATTAAATAATACATTATATTTAATAAAAAATGTGATTTTATAATATTAAAGATTTAAAAAACATTTAAGAGATGAGTTTTTTACTTAAATTCATCATAATTTTCTATCATCACTTTTTTTAAAGTATAAAAATAGGTTTACTAGTTAAAGCATAATCTAAAAAATAAAAATTATTTTATAATCTTTTTTTATATTAAAATATAAGATTTATATTACATTATGACTTAAAATAAAAAATATTTTCTTTATTATTAACAAACTTTACTCTTAGTAGCAGCGGGAAATGTTTTTTAACATAATTCATAATAGCTCGCAGATGTATAATTCATTTTAAAATTAATTTACTTTTCTAAAATGTTTACTGTTAAATATATAGAAATAAAGAGTCCTGCAGTTACTTATTTTCATATCCAGATTCTCAAGATATTTCTTCTTGTCCCTGTGAAGTTTGTGGCTAATATCATCGAGAATGTACTTGGTTCTAATCATTTGACCTGTCCCCGCAAGGCTCAAATTTCTTGATTCATCTGAGATTCAGGGAATCCACCTCTGACCGACAAAAAATTGGTCGCCACTTCAGTGAAAATATAGCGAGTATTTCCCCAAATTTGTCAGAGGATAGGGTTTTAATGGAATTCTTTAGACTTTGAAAATTTTCTCTTATTTGTTTTACGTATTCATCTTTTATATTTTGATCCCCCAGGGCTTTAAAATTAGTCTTGGTGGGCTTTCTATTTAACTTTCCATTTCTTTCTTTCCTCTTATACCAGATTTGATCAATCATCATAAAACAAATAATGTGGCCTGAATTAAACATAACTTGATAGAGTACTTTAAAATTTTTTATCCAACAGATTGTAAACCTAGAACAAATGAAATAGCCAATTTGAGACAGCTATAGTAAGTATATATTTTTCTGAGGTCGGGGTGTTTGAAAAATGTATTTACGACACGAAGATCCAGATTATAACATAGTTCTAGAAGTTGTATTTCCATTGCATCAGAATTTATGCCAAGATCTTTATAACCTAGGGAATTATAGTTTATTTCTAAATGTCCCACTTTGACATTCAAGTCTCCTGAGTAAATTTTTTATGTAAATTATTTACTTACTTCCCTAAAAGTAGGAAGAATGCTTTCTCTTTCAAGAAGTTTCCTTTCATATATACATTTACGATTAATCTAATGCTATATAACCTGCTATTTAGATCCTCGAACTTTGAAATATAACCTGCTAGATTATTCTTAATGATTATACATGCACAGCACCAGTTTTTTTTAGTCTATCCCGAATTAAATAGATGGTAGCTCTTACAGAGTTTATTTGAATCAGTCCAATGAGTTTATTTTATGCAAGCTAGTTCGACCTCTTGGATGAAAGAAATCTTAATTGTGCGAATTATGATTCAAGGTTCTAGCATTTAGTGATATAACTTTTAGATTACCAGTAAAACTTTCTATTTAATTTATAAATAATTTATTAATTACCAATTATAATAGCAAAATTTTAATTTTTTTTTGGAAATATTTGATTAAAAAATTTAAAAATTTCTGAGAGCTATTTGAAAAATAAGGGAAAATAAAATATAATATTTCCTGTCTCCCGATTTTGAAAAACATGTCTCACCTTTATGGTTTCTAAGAAAACTTTATTTTCCTATATTATATTTATAGAAAGTTTAATGTTAATTCAACGAATTATAATTTACGATACGAAAAGCGTAATGTGAAATATTTTCTGCCTCCCATTTTGTAGAATATCTCATCTTTATGATTTCTAAGAATTTTAAAAATTTATTCGCCCTATATTTATTTATAGAAAGTTTAATGTTAATTCAACTAATTATAATTCAAAATAAGACAAGAGCAATGTGTAACTAAGTCTTAATTTTTTTTTAAATATTATATAATTACAATTTAATAATTTACTTTAACACAAGCGCATAATAAATAATAATTTCTAACTATTATCATCTATCAAAACTATATTATTCGAGTCGAAGAAAAATTAGATAAAATAATAAATTTAATAATTTACTAATTTTTATTAATAATTTTTATAAATAGGAATAATAATGAATAATGATAAAATTTATATATCATAAAAATTAGTAGATTAAATAGTAATAATAAATATTATTAGATAAACTTATAAATTATAATAAATTGGATCTGATAGTAATAATATTTAATATTTGTTGGATAACAGAAATATTTTTTTGGATTTATTCTTTTAATTTTTCTCGTAGAAATATATATTTGAATATTTCGCTCGTAACCTTTTTTCTTATATTTTTTATATTATACGGAGCCATTCAAATCTGACAAGTGATATTTTATATATAAACTATAGAAATAATATTATTTTTTGTTTTTTTAGTGTACATTTCTTACTAATAAATACGTTTTATTTAAATAAAATGAATAAATAATTTAATACTAGCCATAATCATGATGATGCCCCGGGCGAGAATGGGAAAACATTTGATAGTAGACAAATATTCTTCATGCTTCTTTACATGGAAAATCAAAATTCTTAAATTAAAATTAAATATAAACTCTAATAAAAACATATGGCGAAGTTATAGATAATATTAAATTGATTTTAAAAATTCTACAATTGTGATTTCAATTAAAATTAATGAAGATTCACAAGACAATTCCAAATGCACGTAAGAAGAATAGTTATTATAATTTAAAATATCATTTCAAATAAAGTCTATCTATAACTTATATCATAAATATTAATCCAATCCTAATGGATATAAATAAATATATAGAAAACCTTGAAAAATTATTAAACAATGAAATAACAGTTGATTTTCTTAACATCTTACCTAATTATATTTATCATATTTTTGATTTCTTGGATTATGATCAAATGTTGAAATTAACTAATGATGAATTCATGGGTACAATAACAGGGTATTATGAATATAAATCATATTTAGTTCAACCATATATTCATTATAAAAATCATAATATTGACAATTCAATCTAAAACTAATTATAGAAATAATCAATATATTTATTATAAGAATAATCAATATAAAAATTATAATGAATATAATTATTTAAAGGAAGATTCTCACAATTTAGAAGAAATATCTGGTTTGCTTATTTCTGATAGTGATTCAGATGATTATGAAAAAAATTTTTAAATCAAATTAATGTAGAAAAAATTGAAATATACTGTGTTAAAAAATATTTTCGTTATCCAACAATATATATAACTCAGAGATAATTAGAATTAATCAATAGTAATATAAAAAGTCTGAATTTATTGAAAAAGATCTAAATAATATATAATACCATTATTTATTATCCACAAGATGGCGTTTATTATATCTAATTATTCTAATTTATCATTCTAAAATCTTAACGAATAAATAAAGTAACATATAAAAGATAAATATAAAATAAGCATATTTGCCAGTTAAGGAAATTGTACGAATACAATATTATTTTATAATGTCATCATATGATGAATAATAGTACCTAGTGAACATTTAATTACTATTTTTAATAATATTTGATCTTGATATATCTAAAAATATTATTATAATTTCTTTATACAAATTTAATATGTGATTCGTTAGAATCATATTTATATAAATGGTTAGGAAACAATAAAAAAACCTTCATTCATTTACTTTTTTTACTTGTAATGATATATAACGTTGAGCATTATTAATTTATTTATCCATTAATTAAAATCAAGGATAAGATAGTACATCAGCCATAAAATAAATATATAATAAGCTATTTAATTGCATAAAAATCATACAGGTATTGCAAAACTACAATTCGAATATCCAATACATCATAATTAAATTAAACAATTGACATTTTATATCAAAATAAATTCATTTTTTATTTACTTCCTTAAAAATGGTAAATCATGAAGTATTTCGATGCTAGATGTAAATATCCTCATAAGCTTTGATAAATATTATATTTTGGATAAAGTTTTTATATTTTGATATGGTATTTATGATAAATATTGAGAGCAACAATAATATATTAAGAATATTAATGCAATACTATCAAAATGTTTCACATTATTACATTTTTTATGGTATATAATCCCAGTAAAATTATTTTTTTCTTTTAAAATGATATGAGATTATCTTATCAGTTATTTACTCAAGATGGCTAAATTTTCTAATGAATCATTAGAAAAAATATCAACATCAAGATAGACTAAAGTTTTTTTTAAAAAATGTCAATTTGTTTTGGTTTAGGCTTCATTAAAATTTTACCATTTACAACTATTTTAAAAACAATTTTAACCATTATTTGTTTTAATAAATTCTTTTTAAAGTTAAAATACAAAAATTATTTTTAAATAATAATACGACAACTTGCGGATTGAATATTATAAAATTATATATTTACATCTTAATTATTTTAGATATAACTGTATTAAAAGATTTTAATAATCTATTAATAGAATGGATGAAAAATAATATTAATTTATATTACTTTATTATTTATAAATAACTTAATTTTTGTAACATGTTTATTTAATAAATGGAATAACTGAATATTATAGTTATAAGAAAAAGTATGTTATTAAAATTTTATATTATTTACAAAAAGATTCAATCTAATTTGAAATAGATTTTATAAACTAATATATGAAAGAGAATAATTCAAAAGAATTTTTTATTACTTAAATCTGTTTATGGGATATATCCACTTCTAAACTATTCTTCTAACACAACTGTTCTAAGTCTAACTTTTCTAACAAAATTTGATAATGATTAGTGAAGCACTGCAATTCTAGATAATAACATATATTAAGTAATTTAAAATATATTTATAATAATTATACATACTGTTCTAAGTCTAACTTCTAAGTTTTCTAACACAATTTGGGAGCACTGAAATTTTAGATATTAAAATATATTAAGTAATTTAAAATGAGTTTTCCGGTATCTTTCAGGAAATTAATAATTAGATCGATCTGTGGGTGTTAGGTAGTGTTAACCATCACCCAATATTATATTAATCATAACTTATATAATATAATATAATCTTATAACCAATAACTCATAATGTAAAATTTTTTATAAAAAATATTAAGGCCCGGCCCGGCCCGGGTTTAAAAATCTTAGGCACGGCCCGGCCCGGATATATTTTAAAAAAATTTTTTAGGCCCGGCCCGGCCCGGATAAAATTTTTTAGGTCCGGCCCGGCCCGGGTATATTTAAAAAATTTAAAATACGGCCCGGCCAGGGCCGGGCCGGGCCGGGCTTAGGGCCGGGCTTGCAGGTCTCTGATATGTATATATATTTTGAATTTGATTTAATTCTGAAAGATTTTTTATGCATGAAAATCACAAAAGATTTACTTATAAAAGAATTTTTTTTAAAAAAAAAGATTTTGATATTTTTAGGGTAAAATTTGATCAAACAAAAATTTTCCTCAAATTTTTTTTTGTTTTGAACTCTGGGATTAAATAATAAAGAAAGTATATTTAACTCAAAAGTAGATAATATCTGATTGACAAAGATCTATTTCAAATTCAAATATCATTTTTATTGCCTGATATTTTTTTTGGGATAGGGTTCTAAATCGCTAAAATTGGGGATCTTGCTTATAGCGATTTTTGTTTTTGACGATTTAGAATGGGAACTTTTTTTTGTATTAGATATTTTTTTATCTTGTTACTCGCCACAATAGATTAAATATGATATTTTTACCATCTCCCTCAGCTATAATTTTAAACAAAAATTTCAAAAAATTACATTAATATTAATTATAAATTAATTAATATATCGGATAATTATGAATATTACATTAATATTTTTATATATAATTCAAAATTTATTTTCCACTAGATTAAACGGCTCGATTTTTTAAAAATGGCTAACTCATTATTTTATCCAGAAAAATATTACGTAAAGGGTTTGAACATCTATTAATGAAATCTCAAGTATTATTTTCTGGCTACAATATTGAGTAAGCCGTTTTTAAATATCAGCTCAAATCGAGCCTTTTAACAACACTTAAAACTTAATAAATTTTAATCCTTAATCTGAATCTTTATGATTATATCTTCCTGGAACCTTGGCCGACCCGAATCTATATATTAAAAGATTCGATTCTCTGTTTATAATATAATTTTTTTCCCCATGTAATTTATTTATTTTTGATAAAAGAAAGAAAGGGCAGAAAAGGATAAAAATGATAAAGAGAAGATTCCTAATTTATTTTTCTTTATCTCAAAAATAATCTCTATTATATAAGTGTTTCAAAATATTATTTTTATTGTCAGATATTTTTATTCTATTACTCGCCACAATATATGAAATATGATTTATATATACCATTTTCGCCTTCCGCTATAATTTTATATAAAAAGTTTTAAAAAATTTATATATTATTTAATCATAAAACATTGAAATAAAATTCGTGGTTAGAATTAAATACATTTAAAATGGAGATGAGTGTTAATTTCTCGATACTTTTTACCTATTTCGATATAAAAAAAAAGGACAGAGAAAGAAATAATAAGAATTAAAAATTCCTTTTATCTGCATCTCAAAAATTATATTTTATTTGATTATTTTAGGCTTAGATATTTTTATCCTATTACTCCAATATATGAAATATGGTATAACCATTTCCGCCTTCAGTTAAATTTTGTGTAAAAAGTTTTAAAAAAGTAATTTAAATATTTTTATATTATTAAAATCATTTTAAAAAAATTCAATGGCTAAAATTTTAATACAATGAAAAACCAGATGTGTGTTAATTTCTTCGATATATTTTTACATTTCGATAAAAAAAAGAACAGACAAATAAATAATAGAGAAAGAATTAAAAATTTATTTTATATGCACTTCATAAATCATATTATCGCATGATTATTTTTCGCTTAGATATTTTTATCCGATTACTCTCCACAATATATGTATATTTATACCATTTCCATCTTCAGCTATAGTTTTGTATAAAAAGTTTAGAAAAAGTTATTAATATCATAAAAGAATTCAATGGTTAAAAAATAAATACATTTAAAATAGAGATTAGTGTTATTTTCTTCTATATTTATTTTTAACCAAATTTCGATAAAAGAAAGAAGGGCAGAGAAAGATCAAAATAATCAAGAAAAAATTAAAAATTTTCTTTAAAATTAATAAAATGGCTGTTTTGACAATTTTCATCTTTCAAGATAAAAATAAAATAGCAATGTGAGATGTGCATTTTAATAATCGTTTTTTATTTTTGGTTTCGATATTTTTATCCTATTTACTCTCCATAATATATTAAATATGATATTTTTTTACCATCTCCACCCTGAGCTATAATTTTAAATATAAAAAAATTTCAAAATAATATTTAATTTAAATACCAATAATTATAAATCATGTAAGCAAATAATTCAATGGTCAAAATCTAATATATATTTAATATCTAGATGAGCATTAATTTCTTCGGTATTATTTACTTATTTTTATTAAAGAAAAATAGAAAAAATTAAAAGGTTGATGGTACGAATAAAAATTTCATTAGCATATCAAATATCATTTTAATTTCTGATCTATTTTATCTTCGTCATTTTTATCCTAATACTCTCCACAATCTATTAAAATATAATGATATATTTTTTTCTGCTTTCAGTAATAATTTTTATAAAAGAGTATATGCCTATATTATATTA